CGAAAAGCAAGAGTTAGTTTCCTGCTGTGGAACACGTAGCGCGTTTCTTGGCCAACGAGCAGCGCGTGCGAATCTGAAAAGCAACAACGGAAAAGGGGCCCGTCGGGCGCCGCGCACTTTCGCAACTTGACAATCCGATCAGCTGGACCACTCGCGGTCAGGTTGCGTCAGCTGATTTTACAGACAACACATCGCATCGTTTATTGCCCGGCGTTTATGGGCTTCAATAAGGCCCCGAGCCGCGGCGGCACAATAAACAAAAATGGCACGCAGCTGGGCCCGCTTTACTTCGGCGCTGCTCAGAAATAAATTGTACACATTTGCGAAAAGGTTAGAAGCCATTCTTGACCTTTCGCGAGCAAACACACCACACCACTCTCACTCCCATCGCGGCAGGAATAATATTTTCAAACTGTCTAATTTGTGGGATTTTGATGTGAAACATTGGATTTAAGAAGGGTGATTCAAAATATGGGTCAAACCTCATAATAAATTTAAGTTCTCAAACTAGAAAATTAAAGAAAATAAGTAAACATTTTGAAAAAAAAAATTATAATTAACTATATAATATTTATTTTCTATATTTTGTTCTCATTTATATTGAATATAATATTAAATTATTATTAATTTTATTATATTATTTTTAGTTATTTATTTTAAACCTCTAATCAAATTTGAAATTTATCATATTTTTCTTACAGACTTTATACATGCATAACCGTTAATTTCTTACCTACTATAAATTAACGACTCTACTAGACTCCGTTGATAAGAAAAATTTATTAACAACTTACAATCAATTGTTATTATTTTTACGAATTTGTTTAAAAAAATTTCACAAAAAGATTAACTAAATTATTTATTAGAAAAATGGTTAATTGCAAAGTATATACCAGATTTTTTGAGGAGTTTTGAATCGCCCTCATTGTAAATTCCACGCACAAAGTGAAGAATAATTTGATGCATGTATCTCGTTGTTTAAATGTGTGAAACAGAATTGCCCAGGTTGTAACTCATCGCGGCGTGACGGCGAGAGCTTTTGTGAACGCTCTCAAAAGATAAATCGCGACGCGATTTCCATTATTTTCATAAACACGATTTGAACGTGTGGCGTGTAAGCGGTGCTAACATGGAAACGCATTTTACGTTCAACGCCGTGAGTGCTTTATGGATCTGGTTAATGCACGAACGATATGAGAGACGCTTTTCATTTTGCTCTATTTATAGAATGAATTTCTTGAGGCAGTTTTTCCTTCATAGTGCGTTAAAATGAAAAAAGAAAAAAAAATAGAACTTGGAGCAGTTTTAAACTGTGTGCAGTAGTTCTTATTAATTTATAATTGACTTATGAGCCTTTTCCGGCACAATATATAATGTGTTAAAGTTCGCCGTTTGTGGGTTAGATGCGCAACGGGAAGTAAACAAAAGATAATTAATGCGTCAAGTTCGAAATGAATAACAATTTAACGTTAAATTGTGTAATGTGTTTCATCAATTTCACGGTTGAGCCCCGTCACGTGAAGTAAACGAACGGTTTGACAATTTAAAAACCTCTATAGACAGGAACTTATAAATTATTTAAAAAGAAACTGGCGTTCTTCTTAAAACACAAAAATTATTTAATATTGTTATATTTTCTTCTAAAAATTCGGCATTCTGGCGCAAGATGGAAAAAATAAATTTAATATTATTAAAATTGCAATATAATCTTTAGATAACCAAAAAATGGTTAAAATATCTGACTAAATTGTCATATTTTTTTTTCATTTGGTTTGCTCTATTTTCATTAGTCAACTTTCGAATTCGACTGCGTTCATTAACATTGACAGAGTTCCATTTTTTCATACATTTTCTAGAACACTCTGCAATATTATTTTATTATTGTCTCTCGTGATTTCCTCCCAATAATTGAAACAAAGTTCAATTGCGTAAAGAGAATTTTTGTTTTGCAGACTTTACAATTTAACTTGGTTATCGAATTGATAGTTCGCTCGATTTTTATATTGAATTGTACGCGTGTGAAAAGGCCTGTCTGAAGCAGCGAACCGCTCCGAGGTAAACATTACATTGAACCATTTCTCCAGCGCATTACATCATGCATCACATAAGCCGAGAGCTGTCCTCAGGCACGTTCATTATATTAACTCTCGATTCCGACTATCTCCTTTTTATGTTCTCCGTCGAACCCACACTCGGCCGTCTCTTTCTCTCGCCGCGTCTTCTCCAGTTTCTTCCGGGTGATCGGATCAAAAGGGACAGTCGGCTGGACACACGTTTGATTATTTTCCGTTTCGCGACCCAACGACAAACGCACGCTCGTTTCGCCAGCAATAATTATCTAATTGAGGTTTACACAACCTCGACTGACAGAGAGTTGTTTCTAATGTTTTTCTGCGTCATATTATATTTCGGAGCAATAAACCACGGTGACTTCAAAGAAAGACGTTTCGCTTTTTCGCAAGAACTCTTAAAAACTTAATCCTCCTGACAATTCAAAAAATTTCTTACCCTATGCATGAGAATGCTGGTTTTAACTTTAATTTGGTTTTATTTCTTGTCCATAATTCGGGGAGAATATATTATTTGAAAAATTTAAACCTCGTTGCAAAGAAAGAAAAATGAAAAAAGGACTACTGACCCCAAAAGGGGACATGCGGTCTGTCCTAGGGTTTTGTCGTATCAAAATTAAAACTAATGGGAGGAATTAATGAAAAATAAAATCGGGAAAATTTAATTTTAATAAAGAAAAATTGCAGAAATTAATTTGCAACGAGGTTGGCCCGGTTTCAATTTTTCATGAAATCCACCTCGAGTGTTAACATTCAATATAAGACTATTTTTATTTAAAATTTAATTAGCAGAGCTAATTTTCAGGTTAATCCTCAAGCGCAGGTATCAAATTAGAATCCAAATATCCATATACTACTGTTAAATAAAGAAAATATCAAAATTTATAAATGCAATTTCAAAATAAAAACAGTTTTACTTGAAACGATCAATCAGGATCTTGCCTTTTTTTCAACTATTCCATTTCCTGCACAGTCGCATAGATGCTGGAAAAGTAGTGTGGATTTCCTGGGACGAATGGCGATTGTCACACAATATTCACGCAAACGCGATACCCTATCATTACTTTCTCTGTGTACATTTTACACTTTCATTGCGCTACATACTGCGCCGTTTGTCTTTGTAAGCGACGTGTACGCCCGTCGGAGCAGCGAATGCTCCATTCGAGACGATTCCCGAGTGATCGTGAATATAATTAAAAGTCACAACTATAACTTTGAGAATTACATAATCCTGAGGAGAACTAAAACAAGATTCTCGCACCGAACGTGTTTTCGAGCCGCTCTATATTTAACGCATAAAAAAAGAAAATGAAACCGCAGGGCTATATGTCAATCCGCGTTTGAGCGTAACTCAATCGGGTTGTAAATTGTAAACAACCGCGCGAGTAAGAGAGCCGGGACATGCACTTACTTATTTGCAGAGAGGTCAAAAGAAACAGGACTCACCTGAAACAGAGAGAAAAGCACAAATTAGCCACGAGATTGGTAAAAATTGTTGAGACAAAAATACAATGAACCCTGCATAAATAAATTAGTTCGACCTAGCGCTGATGTAAACTAACAAGGAAAAGGTCAGCAAATAATAGCGGCTGCGCGAGATATTGAAAGAGCCGAGGGAAAGGTTTGCATTGTCAACAGTCACGTTTTTCGCCCTTAACAGAAATAATGAGTGCGGAGGAGAAAAGTAGAGCGCAAGGACCATGCGTTTGTGTCTCGACCTTGCCTATAAAGAATTAATTTTATTGTTTCTTTCTCCAGACAGAAATAATATCACTTGATCTAGTCACAACGCATTTTACGCCGAGTTGAGCAAATTATTACTTTATTATAATTGTGTCAATTAGCACCCAGTGCGAGTGATCAACCTGTCCATGCATCAGAGCACATTAAATTTATATGCACTTTTTCATTACGCGGCGGCGACATGTGAGCGAGCAACGTTCTTGCCCTTGATTATCTCTCATTTTTCAGCGACAGGATAAGCGGGTTTTTGCAGGGAGCGTGTGTCGTGCTCACTACTTTCAAGCAAATGCCATTTGCACGTGAAATGTATGGGCTGTGCGAATTTAAGAACCTGAAATGACGCTAAATTAACTCACAACGGCTCATATTTCATTTGCACTCTGCTACTCGTCCTCTCTCGAGCCACGTCGTGGATTACGCCAAAATATTATTAATTTGTGATATTCAGAAGATTACACTGGCAATAAAAATTTGGCATAATATGGTAACATTTTGCTATTAATTACTCAAAAGAAACGCGTTTATTATCAGTTTATATTTCTGAAAAAAAAAAACCTCGGCGGCTAATTGTAAGACAAGAGGATGATGGAGATTCTGTCGGGTTTAAGTTCAAGGGTATCAAAACCAGTGGGTGTTAAATTAAAAAAGCTATTAGGTAACGCGGAATTTAGGAATCGGAATCGTCCATGCATACTGATTAAAATAATGTTTTCGGCCGAGCGTCATCCTTTTTCAATATAGTTGCAAATTATGTTTAGTGATCCATCACAAAGACAATTTAAACATTTAAAATTATAAAAATTTAATATAATCATGATGAGTTTAAATATGCTTACTGAATTATTAGGTAGGATCTTTTTCTTATGAAAATTGCGAGGATTATCAGATAGTTAAAAATTGCTCAAGGGTCGGCCTGAAATTAAGGAGTGCAGCAAGCGGGCGAATTCTCTGTTTTCCTCGAGTGGGGGTCCGAATGCAGCTATTTGACCAGCAGCAGTGCGGTGCATATTTCCTCAGGAGGGATCTCCAGTCCTTAATGGGATTTGCATCACTTTGAAGTAAAAGAACGAAAAATTGAGGGGTAGGGAGAAGGTGATACGTATCCGCCCAGACGAGTGAGAGTTCACTATAAAAGCGATGCACACACTCTTGCAAATCACTCTCGAACCTACATCAGAGGCACACAAAATGGCATTCAAAGTGAGTTCGCACATCCACGATTCAGTTTCAGTGATTTCAAATTTTAATTTTCAAAATCCGACCGTTAGGTAAAAAAATTAACTAATTTTTATTATTATTTTTTTCAATTCCAGTTCGTCGCCTTCGCCGCCTTCGTGGCCGTCGCCCGCGCTGGGGTTGTCCCCGCTTACTCTGCCGCCCCCGTGGCCTATGCCGCCCCCGCTGTGGCTAAGATCGCCGCCCCCGTGGCTTATGCCGCCCCCGCAGCTTACCCTGCCTACTCTGCCTACTCCGCCCCCGTGGCCAAGGTTGCCGCTCCTCTGGCCTATGCCGCCCCCGCCTATGCCTCCCCCGCCTACGCTGCCCCCATCGCCAAGTACGCCGCTGCCCCCGTCGCCTACGCCGCCCCCGTCGCTAAGGCCGTCGTCGCCGCCCCCGCCCTCGCCAAGGTCGCCGTCGACACCGACTACGACCCCAACCCTCAGTACTCCTACGCCTACGATGTCCAGGATGTCCTGACCGGAGACAGCAAGTCTCAGCAGGAGAGCCGCAACGGTGACGTCGTCCAGGGCTCTTACTCCCTGGTGGAGCCCGACGGCAGCCGTCGCACCGTCGAGTACACCGCTGACCCCGTCAACGGATTCAACGCCGTCGTCCACAAGGATGCCGCCGTCACCAAGGCCGTCGTTGCCGCCCCCGCTGTGGCCAAGATCGCCGCCCCCGTGGCTTATGCCGCCGCCCCCGCCTACAAGGTTGCCGCCCCCGTGGCCTATGCCGCCGCCCCCGCCTACAAGGTCGCTGCCCCCGTGGCCTATGCCGCCCCCGCCTACGCCCACGCTCCCGTCGCTGCCTACGCCGCCCCCATCGCTAAGGTCGCTGCCCCCGTGGCTTATGCCGCCCCCGCCTATGGCGCTCCCCTCGCCGCCAAGGCCTACCTGGGTTAAGCTGCTGCACTGAGGAAACTGCCAAAAATGTCATAAAATCATCTCAGACCTCACCGAGCGCCTTTTCCTGAACTGTCAAACTTTTCCGTTGCATTTCCATTTTTTGTACAGAACGCAATCAGCATCGTTCTCATCGGACAAATCCTCCTTTTTTATGTAATTTATGTAAGTGTCTGTTGTATTGCCTTTGTTGCCCTAAATGGAAATAAATAAAATGTGTATATACAAAGAAAAAAAAATTACATTTCTCTTCTCAATCACATAAAAAAAAATAATAATAAATAGCTTTTGATCCACTCATATAAATAAAGCTAATTTGGCTTGTTTATTGACACGAAATAAATGAGGCAACCAGATAACGACTCTCAAGCGCAGTTTAAGGTGAAAGTGAACAGCTCGGATGCCCTTTGCTTAACTTATAGTGTTGCGTCTGTAATTTAAGCCAAATGCCGAGAAAAGTAAATCAGCGCTGAGAAAATTGCACTTGGCAGCAAATGCGTATCACGTTAACGCGAGGAGAGTGAAATGCCAAAAATCAACGGAGGAAATTGATTGAATTAAAAACAGCCTGCCTCCTAAAGTGAGTGTTGAAAATGATGTTTTGATTATTTATCTCTAAAAACCTTTTATGTAACAAGGACATCAGGCAAACAAATTTTGCAACGATGCGCTAGAGATAATTTTTAATAATTACAAAGAGCAGGCGCGTATATTTTGTCGTGTCTTTAGGCGAAGAAAACAAAAGAACGCCAAAGTTCATTGTTACGTCGCGCTGATACAATCGCATTTATAGGCCTGATTGCTCGCGCGAGTGTTTCTAAAAACCCTGACACAAACTCTCAGCTGATTATGTTCCTGCACAAGAGCTGGCGGGTCATAGGTTGCGCCTAGAACTGCCGCTTTTCTTAACAATGCCTTGAAGAGTCTCGCACTTGTAAGCCCATAAATAATGCCAAACGACGACGCAAACAAACAAACGTCTGCGCCGAAGCAATTGTGAAACTTGTTTGAAAATTAGCAATGAGACGAGCCCATCGTCATTTTTCAATTCAATGTTGGAAGAACCAAGAGCACTTTGTGATTTGCGAGAAAAAATATGATAATTGAGCCGGTGTTCGAGGACGGCTATCAACTAGTAATTTTAGGGAAAATTATTTAAAACATAGATAAAAGCATATTCAAAGTTTTACATTAAAGCATAATATCGAGAATATTTAATTTTTTTTTATGTTTAACGCGGATTTACTGAAATTGTAACATAAGAATTTTGTTTCTAAGACCGGAATGAAATGCCATAATTGTGAATTTCAATTGAGTAATGAATTTTAAAAATCACAAAAAATGACATGTTTCTTTTGTCTCAAATAATTAAGAACTTATTAACATAAATAAAAGAAATATTTTTGGAATAAACAGCCCAGTAGGTTCAAGGTCACCGTGTTATTCGCGATTCATCGGCCCTTAAATTTTAGCAAGCTTCACTGTTACCGCCAGTGCCATTCCCAAGAGGGGTAAACAATTAAAAATAAAATAATAATAAAATAATAAAAAATAATATTATTATTAATATAAAATAATTTTTGTATATTGACTGGTTTAGGCTGCATTTCAATGTATTGAATGGAGAATAAATAAATAATTAAAATGTAAACGCAAATATTCCAGAGCAAAAAGATCAAACCTGGTGTCAATTTCAATTACACAAACTTATTATTTTTTTATGAAAGGAAATTCAATAATTATTCTAAAATTTTTAATTGAAAAAGAATATTTTTTTTATTTGCAGTGCTATTGATCGGCACTTAATAAATAATTATGTTTTTTATGCAAGTAATTTCAAAAAGGCACCATTACAAGAAACGTTCATGTACATAGGTTGCGGACTTGAAGAATTTAATTGGCAATGTTAATAATGCGCAGAAAATTGTATAGTGTGTCATGGTGAGCAGGAGTTTTTATGGGATTTTTTATAGCTAATAAAAAATATATAATATTTTTAATTCATTTTTATTTTTTAATTCTATTTAACGTTATTAGTGATTACGAGACTTGAAACGTGTTGACATGTCAGGAAATATAAAAGAGACTTCAATGAGCGCACTTGAAAACTCTGTATTATCTGTAATTAGGATACGTTATTGTCGATTCACACGCTCCAAATTAGAACCTCCGATCGCGATCCCACTCTTAACCCAAGCAAACCGGTGAACTTTGGAGATCACCGCCTAGGACAGCATAAAAGAGTGAAAGTGGTCCAGCCCATGCAGTGTTTTCTCGTTAAGTGTGCTCGTCTCTTATAGGAGTCGTAACCTTGCCAGCGTCTTCCTCGGGAATACATAATCTGCCGAGTTTTTTTTTCTTATTTCAGGCGGCGCCTAACAATCGTTATGCAAGGCGCGCGTTTTTGATTTATTGCTTTCAGATCGCGCAGGTCGTGCGGTTTTCACGTTGATTGTTGGTTTTGATAAAGAATACCGAGCGTGTTTAAAATAACAAACTGTATAGTACAAATCTTTAATAAATGAATTTCAAATAAAGTTTAAGAAAATTATAAAACGGGACCTTCCAAATTCTTTATGAAAAATGTGCATTATGTAAGTGGTGATCACAACTACTGCACAAGAAATAGAGAAGATCTATTTATGTGAACCCAGTCGCAAGCGAGTTTGGTGTAAAATCGTTATATCTTAGTGTATTTATAGCATAAAATGATTTACCAGATACATTGAAAAGTATAACAGAAATTTAAATGTTTAAAATGGAATGAATGTGTAATTTTTTTGAAATCTATAAAAAGTTTGCTACGAAATATTTTCTCTTTTTTAGTTTCAGCTTTGTTTGTCATCATCGCGTGGACCATCAAATAAGGATATCCCAGCAAAAATGATGATTTTAAATTAAGTTGAACCCCAAAAATAAAATAAAATTGAAATAAAGTAGTGCCTTCTGCACCATAAAGGGCACAGGCCGACAAGACTTTGTCTTGGCCTGACCCTAAACAAAGCGACATTTATCCGAGATAAATTTTACTGGACAAATGAGTGTATATTCAAAAGTACAATATTTAATAGTCTGATGACTAATTAAAACTTACTGAATTCAATAATTTCATTTTACGATAATTAACACAAATTTTAATATACAAATTATTATAATTATTAATTATTCTATTTATTTTTGTATATAAAATTGGCCAAAATTACCATTCAAATGTAAATAATGATTGCGTATGTGAAAAATGTGGGAGGAAAATTAACTTGTATCATTTTAGTGAATGCTGTAAAAATAATTTAAGCTTGTCTGAAGCTGCGAGAATGAATTATAAATTGTACGTTGAAAAGTGTACACATTTTGTGTTTAATAAATTTCTATATATATAAATTGGCCAAAATAAATAAATAAATAACAATCATAACAATGTTTACATTCAATTGTTAGAAACAATTATTTGAAAAAAAAAAAAGGAATTGGTGGAAGAAACGGCACCACCACTAGTAAGAATCTTGCAGAAGCTTCCGAGATCAAAAAGACCCGCCGCAGTGAGCCTCGGTTGAATTGGTTTTTGTTATTATATATAAGATAATTTTAATTTAACCTCAACCAAAACCATGCGGAGGGTAAACATTAATACTTGTAAAGCTATATTATGAAATTAAAAAAAATAAAATAAAGAAATAAAATAATAAATAAATGATAATAAAAATAAAAAAGAATATTAACTTTTGACAAGATGGCTTTTTTAACAATTGAAAATCGAGCTCCAAAATAAATGAAAAGAACGGAATAATTCATTCATAAACCCACTTAATTTAAAGTCAAGAGCAGGTACGCAAAAAACTGATAACACCGGTTTTCTTAATTCAACAGCAACGCTAGTTTAACGACTACAAGGCTGCAAATGACAGGGGATAGCAAGTGGCCATTATTTATAAGCTCTTGGTGCAGAGAGAGCAAGTGAGGGGAGCTCGCGAAATGCAGTAATGATTGTTACACTTTTACGTCTGTCAGATTGATATCGCTGCAAATTCGGCAGGTCTGGCCGCAGGGCGCCGACGTGTCTGACCGGCCAGGTCAGCTTCCGCCTAATTGGCGTTTTTGAGAAGGAAAGTTTAATAATGCCGACATACTAGGGTGGTGCAAGTGTGTACAGCACGTACCGAGAGTGGATTCGCGCTTTCGTTAAAAGGTTCAAGGCACATAACCCCGCGCGTTGGGCAACCCACTTTTCAGGTCCATTGTGCGATGCGCGCGCCCATTTATCATTTCGGTGAATCGCATCTTGGCTAATTCATAGCAAAGCGTGATCATTATGCTAATATTCGTGATGGAGAACAACACCTCTTCGGGTGATAATAATTGTGACCGAGCTGACATAATTTATGCGCAGCGCGGCCCGAAACAAAGAGAACAAAAAATTGGGACGCACGAGGATTTTCGCCAAGGCGAGTGAGAAACGCGGCGATAATTACTGATGCACAGACTGCTGGGTGAATGTGAGCAAAATCGGGTCGAAAAAATAATCTCGAGCAAGGTTAGTTTTCAGCTGAAAAAAAAGAGGCGACAAGGTAACTTTTGGTTCCATTATATAATTAAAGCGGCGATGAAAAATAATGCGAGCGCTCAAGTGGAAAACGATTTTAGTATAGTGTGACGGTCATTTGTGTAGTGTGGATGATTCGTTGCACTCGAGTGATCTGATCTTGACGGAAATTGTCGCACAATCATCATCAATTCATGAATGGTCGTTGCCGAGTGTAATGATCAAGTGCAAACGTTTATTTATCAATTAAGTCCTCGCTACGCACTATGAACATGTTTGCACGTTCTGTGTGTATTGAACTAGAAAAAAACAAGCGATGACCAATTCGCCTCATAAATTATATAACAGGTGTAAAAACGATCGTGTGAAATAATATGAAGTATGATCGTAATGCAAAGATTGTAATTATTTAAGTTAAAAATAATATTTACATAAAAAATAACTTTTTGGTTTTCAATAAATAATAATGAGAATCAGGGTCACAAAATGACCATAATTTAAGATTTTTGTAGAATCGCGTGATTTCCACCGCCTTGAGACCTCCGCCACAAATTTTGAAACAAATTGCGCAAATTTAATCAAAATCTGGTCCAGGTTAGGCCATCTGCACAAATTACTCGGAATAATTTGAGACAGAAACGGCGGCAGCCAATTATGTCTGTTATTGGTTGGAAACTCACGATCGAGTACCGTATAATTTTTCAGCAAGGATGCAACCGCGAAAATTATGTAAATGTAGCCGCGAGAGGTGTGGGAATATTACGCCGGCCGGCTCTATTACGCTTCCTCTAACATACACACCCATCTCCCCCAGGTATCGCATCAGTGAAAGGCATTACATAAGGCAGGTTTGATGGCACGTTGGCCCTACCAAGGTGGTGGTGGGGCTAACCAACCTACCCGCACCCCTAGCGCCGCGACTCACTATAAAAAGCCTCGGCGCACCTGGACCCAGCATCGTATTCGAACTGGTACTTTCAACAGTCATGGCCTTCAAGGTAAGCAAATAATCACCTGCCCTGGAAAATCTTCAACAATAATTTTCCAGTTAATTTTTTTATTAGAATTTGAATTTATTTCTTTTGCAATTTCAGTTCCTCGCTTTCGCCGCCGTCATCGCCGTGGCCCGCGCTGGCGTCATCGGCGCCCCCGCCGTCGCCACCTATGCCGCTGCCCCCGCAGTGACCGCCTACGCCGCCCCCGTGGCTAAGGTTGCCGCTCCTCTGGCCTATGCCGCCCCCGCCTATGCCGCCCCCATTGCCCGTGCCGCTTATGCCGCCCCCGTCGCCTATGCCGCCCCCGTCGCTAAGGCCGTCGTCGCCGCCCCCGCCCTCGCCAAGGTCGCCGTCGACACCGACTTCGACCCCAACCCCCAGTACTCCTACGCCTATGACATCAAGGACGCTCTGACCGGCGACAACAAGGAGCAGCACGAGACCCGCAACGGTGACGTCGTCCAGGGCTCTTACTCCCTGGTGGAGCCCGATGGCACCCGCCGCACCGTCGAGTACACCGCCGACCCCGTCAACGGATTCAACGCCGTCGTCCACAAGGAAGCCGCCGTCCAGAAGGCTGTTGTCGCCGCCCCCGCTCCCCTCGCTTATGCTGCCCCCATCGCTAAGGTCGCCGCTCCCCTTGCCTACGCCGCCCCCGTTGCCAAGATCGCCACCCCCTACCTCGGTTAAGTAACCCCCTCCTTCAAGTCCTGACCAGATTGTAAAATAGTAAATATAAATTATTATTTATGCATGTATTTATTGCCACCAAATAATATGTGCTTGCCCCTACATTATGTATTTTCCACCCTGTGATCAAATATTATGAAATTTTGGCAAACTCGCTGGAAAACTGATCTGTCCCATTTCACATGTTGTGAGACGAGCGCAGAATAAATCGTTATTGCAATACAAATGTATATTTTTTCCGTCTTTTATTTCTTGAACATTCGCAGTAGCGACCGAACCGCGGCAGCACACATTGGACTGTCTCAGACGGGCTGGGTGTGAGCACCGAGACTAAAAAAGTGCATGAGAGTCCAACTAAGACAATTATAGGCGGAGTTTTATTCCAAGCGAAAGAGAGTGAGTGAGGTGACGCAAGAATTTTGACCTCGATTTCAGCCCTATTGCAATAATAAGCAGCAGTGAGAAGCACCGCCTAGGGCCATTTGCCTCGATAATTGGGACTCGCCACAATACCCAACTTTATGATCGATTATTAATCCGTCGAATGCTTATTTGAAATAATTATCTTTAATTTATCAGTAATTTAAAAAAAAAAAAATAACATCAAATCGGTCAATGATTTGTGCAATTATTTATCGGGGAAGACAAAATTGATGGGAAATAAGAATATTTTGAAAGACTGCATTTTCACCAATGATTTAAATTTTAATAACAAAAATTTCATTCCTATAATACATATAGAAAAACAGAATGATGCCCAATGTACTTCTTTATATTTAAAAATTAAATAAAATGCAATCAAATTTATGGGCAAATCACCAAAAAATCCCATTGAAAATAAATTGTAAATAAATTCGGATTCAAAATGAGAGACTTTGTTTGATCCAAACTTCTCATTTTATAATTTATTAATATATTTACTGGGAAAATAAAAGTAATTCATGTAAAAACTGAAAAAAAAATAAATAATTAATTTCATCCTGCGCAATTTTCTTTTTCTCATATAAAGAAAATTAAAGAATCTGAGACATTCAAAATATTTATGCGAAAAAAAAATGTTCAACAATTTTGTTTGAAAGTAATCGAAAGTTTTAATTCCAAAGGGAAATAAAGAGATTTTATTTTAATTGCAGTTAGCACGTGGAAAATTTCTCACTTAAACAAATAAAAATGAACAACGCCCAAAAATTTCTTTACTAATGCTTCAAACCTATATTTATCTCCCTTTATTTTTTTTTGTAATTTATTGTTCTGAATTTTTTGGTGAGAAATAAATTGAATTTAAATTTCTATTATATGCAAAAGTTGATTCAATAATATGGAAATATGGTGCTGATGCAAATGACACGAGCTTTACAATTTACTGTTTTAGTGAGTAGGCAGCAGTAGTGATAATGTATGGTCGTTTAATGACACGGAGGAAACGTGTATGCCTGGAATTATAATCATTATGGTGACGCGAATGAAGTACTAAATTTTAATTTATCGATGCATCATTCGCACCTCCAAAGCACGTGCGTTTCGATTCTAGACCTTCGTGCCGCCGACAGAGTGTGAAGCAAAGAGCGCCAAAGTCAAAATTACAAAGATGCTTAATTAGCGTTAATCGCGGCCACTAATTAACTGCAGAGAAAGTCGCAAGGCATAAATTAAGCGGTGGCTCTTGGCCGTGCAATGTGCTTGTCATGTTCTGCGGCTTCACAAGTCCCTTTAAAGGATGTACCTGGACATAATTAACCAATTTAATAACGAATCTCAAATTGTCAACTCAAGGAAACACCGGCGAGCAACTGCATGGAAATGATACATTACTGCCTTGAGAAATTAAATTCTTATTTTTAATTGTAATAGGAAATATAATTATTTTACCTTCCAATACATAATAATAATGACGACTAAAACAAAATAATTATTTTAATGCAAAAGTAAGTTTCAGAATCATTCAAAATATACTGATAATTTCAAACCCTTGAAATTAGGCAACAGAAAAATGAGTAAATGCACGCAAGTTTTACAGGTTGCATATGTATCCAGGTAAACTCAACCTGCATAGCGCTGCTCTTGAATGCTATACAAATAACAGTTTATATTTCAAATAATCTAAACTTTATCAAGATTCACATTCATTTTTAAGCATAAAAAAATCTAAATAAAATGTATAGGCGAATTATTATAATGAATGAAAAATATTTTATATTATATTTTTTTTAAATTAATATGCATCATGTATAATTTTAAAGCATAGAATAACAAGGCCTAACTGTATTTTTAAAAAGTGCTTATATCGAAACTATTTTTAAAAATGAATAAAAGCTTCTCATTTCCTTTTTCCCACCTTTAATTTGCATTGTCAGCAAGAGGCATAAATAATAAAAAAAATTTTAAGAGGTTTTTAGGTGGTTTTACTCAAATTGTGCGAGAAAAACTGGGCTTTGAATTGTACTCAATTTTGACTTTTTAATTGAGAAATTATTTTTTTAATTAATCAATTATAAAACTTTTTGTGCCACAAAAAAATTATAAAAAATGTTTGGCCCTAATTTTCAGTGTTTTACTTTAGTTTTATATTTTATTTTTTGTGACACATAGATTAATTTCTGATTCATTTAAAAATTAATTACTCAAATAAAAGTAAAAATTTTGAATAATTCCATTCTTTTTCTCACATAGTTTCAGTAAAATCACTTAAAAATCTCTTAAAAATTTAACCCTGAAACTGCTTCACTCTTAATAACACAAACAAAGACAATACTCTACGCAAATTAAAATAGATAAAAAAACGCACACTTACGATTATTTGAATAAATAAATTTAAAAAAAAAAACATAGCACCAATTTTTTCAAATATAAATACAATATATTGATTAAATTTTAAAGGAATTTTTAAAATTAGTAGGTTTGGGAATAATGAATTCTATATTATTCAAGGGATGAGCAAAAGCGCATAAAATATAATAAAAGCTTTTGCTTATAAATTTGTGGCAGCAAACGACACCAAAGATTACGTCAATTTTGCGAGAGTGGTCAAATCATACAATCTATCACCTCGAAAAGTTAAACGAACCGTAAGTATTTGAAACGCTCCATATTCGTTTCATCAGCACAATCCTAATCAACGCGCGGCGCACGTAATTTAGCAACAAGTTTACTCGTCGTGTGAGAATTAGTGAGAGGAAGCAGTCGCGCATTCTGAATCGAGGCTACACATCGCGAGGAGATTTTATCTGGCGAGCGTAATAAATTAGAGCCTTATTGATTAATGACTCGCGATCACAGCAACTAACTAAGCAGACTGACTTAGAAAATGCATAAATAACATTATCGATTAAAACACTGCCACGAAAAAAATTGATCATTATTTTCCGAGTTGGCACATCGATCTGCGTATGCACGCGCGTGCTCGGTTATTATCACGCGGAGAAATGCCGGGCGGTACTCGACAAATTAAATGATGGAGTCTTGCGCAACAATGCCACGGGTATTGACATGGCAATTTATACAAGTGTTTGCTTTTTTAAATACGCGGCTCGTGTATCGGGCACGTTTCGACTTAACTGGTTTAGGCGTGTCCCCACCGAAGGGGTACAATATTATGCTCGATGGTCAAATAAAGGAATTAAAACCGAGAGAAAGGAGATCGGCTCTGGAATCCTTTTGCGAGTTTTATTGCCCGGCAATTAAATCTCGGTCGGTCAATGACAAAAAGCCAACTGCTTTTTTGTAAATAAAATTTATCAATTCAAATAACATAAGTAAACTTGTTATTTTTCAATTTGACAATTAAAAGGTGTAGAGGAGGAACAATAAAGCGATTAATTCCATCGCGTGTGAGCGCAATATTGGCCAAAGGCGTCCGCTTTCCAATGATTCACGTACATATCAGATATATTTGCATTAAATAGGCATTTACATGGATATGCAGCTGCACGAGACTACCCTGGGTAATTGCGAGCAGAGTTACTCAACCAGAAAAATGCAACCTCAATTAAGGTTACGATTGCGAGCCAATATTATTATTACATAGTTGGCCAAACGTTTTATATCATCCTATATTTGGAAAGAAACAAATTTCTCGACTGTTATGTAAACGCATTTCCAATCATCCGATTATTGAAATTGGTCCGTCAGACACAATGGCCCGAAAAGGCGTGTCCGATGGAAAACTTTGCAAGTCACAGACACACACTCTGACAAGCTGTAAAATGAGTGATCGTGACAATCACAAAATCCACCCAGATTCGCAACACTTGCAGCCGAACCACGCAAACCGGCCCTGTAATGAGACGCGGAGAGAAAGGGGAAATAAAATGGAGCACACTGAGTATGAACTGCAAGGTGCCGCGGCTAGACACACCAAAGGGCCACCTCCCTCTTCTCAAACCGGGAACATTTCTTCACGTTGCTGAACTCAAACGCAGCAAATGTTGGTATAAATACTGAGGCGTTCGCCACCAAAGATCACACTTGAACACTTCAAGCAACACAAACATGTTCAGCAAGGTGCGTGCCAAGCTCAAAGCCGAGATAACCCCTGGATTATATCGAGGCCGCCGCTTGTTCACTTTAATTTTTCAACCCTTTTCGCTGAAATTAAAATTTGTTTCGAAAATTCCAGGTCCTCGCCATTGCCGCCTTCGTGGCCGCCGCCTCCGCCGGAGTCGTGCCCGCCGTCAGCACCTACGCTGCTGCCCCCGCCTACGGCTACGCCGCCCCCATTGCCCGCGCCGCTTATGCCGCCCCCGCCTACGGCTACGCTGCCGCCCCCGCTTACGGCTATGCTGCCCCCGCCCTCGCTCGCGCCGCTTATGCTGCCCCCGTTGTTGCCGCCCCCGCCATCGCCAAGGTCGCCGTCCCCGCTGAGTACGACGCCAACCCTCAGTACAGGTAAAATAAATTTAAAAAATCAACATGACAAGATTCTAATTATCCAATTTTTCAGCTACTCTTATGCCGTGTCCGACGCTCTGACCGGAGACAACAAGTCCCAGCAGGAGAGCCGCGACGGAGATGTCGTCCAGGGCCAGTACTCCCTCATCGAGGCCGACGGAACCCGTCGCGTCGTCGACTACACCGCTGACCCCATCAACGGATTCAACGCCGTCGTCCACAAGGAGGCCGCTGTCCAGAAGGCTGTTGTTGCCGCCCCCGCCTACGCCAAGGTCGCCGCTCCTCTGGCTTATGCCGCCCCCGTCGCCAAGGTCGCCGCTCCCCTCGCCTACGCCGCCCCCGCTGCCTACGGTTATGGTGCCCCCGCCTACGGCCGTGCCATCCTTGGTTAAGTCAACCTGAATTGTTGTAAATTATTTATATTTTTGAATTTGAAAAATAACGTCCAGTTTTCTTGGGCGTCCATGCTGTATAAGACTTGAATAAAATGTACATTTGAGTTTGTACCAATATTAAAAAATTTAAAAACTATTCATTTTGGTAAGCCCTTTAACAAGTCATCCAGAAAAGGTGAAATATTAAATGAAAAATTTGAATGGAGTAAATTAATAAGTTTGAATAACAATAAAAAAAAATTGAAAATATAAAATAATATGGTGATTTTGGGCTCAAAAAGATCAAGATAATTAAAAAAAGTCTAAATTTTAGAAGCAGAATTTCAGGAAGCCAAAATAATTCAATTACTTGGCTGATTTTTATGTCAAATGAAGTAAGCAAAGTATTGTTAGACATGCTTTTTGGTTTATCCTTTACAACATCAAATTTACAACCAACCACAGGGTCTCACAATAACTATTAAAAACAAGACTTACCATTCAGGGAATAAAAATGTTTTTTTATATTATTGAGGTCGATTTTGCAGCTTTCATATACGTCAACTGAGTGGTTACTTTTGATTTAAAAAATATTTTATCTCCATGGTTTAAAAAAATATTAATAAAGAATAAAAAATTAAAAAAAAAACGGATATAGCGTTTATCTGTGTGTATGTTATTTAAAAAATTATTTTAAGTTGAAATTTCTGGTATTCATTTTTAATTTTTTTCAACTTTATCTTCTTATCTTCAACTTCTCTGGTTAACTCCATGTTACAGATGTATATAACAATATTATTATGAAAAGGAATTTTCGTTATGGTATAATTCTATACAAGGTCGGACAATTTGGAATGGCCTTACCGAGCGATTGTCGCGAGGTTGGTTATAAAATAATGGAAACTAGAGATATTGTTTATGGAATAAATATTGAAGAAAATCCAAAACTTATTTCAATAAAATTTTAGTATTTTAAATTATGAAGAATAAAATAATTATTTGCTCCCAAAACGTGGGAACTAATTTCCTATTGTACATGTTTTGAAAGAGCGCACCGGTCTCAGCGGCAAAAAAGTGGAAAGTAATTTATGGAACAATTAAATAGTTGCACCACAAAGAGCAGCAGCATTGAAAGTGTATAATATCTGCAAGGCACCTGCGGCGATCAGCGCGATTTTGAATATGAGTCTCGCCACGCAACAGTCACAAAGCCGAGAATTCGTAACATGTTATTTTAATCAAGATCCATAATTTCACATCATATATTGATTTGCATAAATAATGATTCAAAAAAACTGGACGCTCACACACACACGTTTTCCATCAACTGAGCACGTGAACAAAAGTTGCATGGAGCCGCACATTACTTTCTGGGCGTTCACACTAAGCCTAGTAAAAAAATTAAAAACCCTGCCCGATACGGCAGCGGAGAAATGGGATATAATATGGATCAAGTGCGGCGGCATGTTATTGACTGCGACCCACCTCCCTCTCGAAATTCGCACCAGGTCACTTTGCAAAACCAGACGGCGGAATCGCGCGGTATAAATAGCGGCCGGCGCGACCGAGCAAATCACATTCGAACAGCTCCACACAGAAGCAACATGTTCAGCAAGGTGAGTAGTCCACTCGCTGCAAAGAGCTGCGATAACCCCTGGATTATATCAAAGCTGCTTTGCATAGAAATCTGAAGAAAAAATATTTAACCCAAAATATCAATTTCAGGTCCTCGCCCTCGCCGCCTGCGTGGCCGCCGCCTCCGCCGGAGTCCTGCCCGCCGTCAGCACCTACGCTGCCGCCCCCGCCTACGGCTATGCCGCCCCCATTGCCCGTGCCTATGCTGCCCCCGTCGTTGCCGCCCCCGCCATCGCCAAGGTCGCCGTCCCCGCCGAATACGACGCCAACCCTCACTACAGGTAAAATTAATTTAAAAAATTGACATAACAAGATTATAAATGTCCGATTCTTCAGCTACTCTTATGCCGTGTCCGACGCCCTGACCGGAGACAACAAGTCCCAGCAGGAGAGCCGCGACGGAGATGTCGTCCAGGGCCAGTACTCCCTCATCGAGGCCGACGGAACCCGCCGCATCGTCGACTACACCGCCGACCCCATCAACGGATTCAACGCCGTCGTCCACAAGGAGGCCGCCGTCCAGAAGGCTGTTGTTGCCGCCCCCGCCTACGCTAAGGTCGCCGCTCCTCTGGCTTATGCCGCCCCCATCGCCAAGGTCGCCGCTCCCCTCGCCTACGCCGCCCCCGCTGCCTATGCCGCCCCCGCCTACGGCCGTGCCATCCTCGGTTAAGTCAACCAAAACCAACAAACCCTATTTATTTTTGTAAATACTCGTCAAGAATGCAATAATGTGGGAGACCACGTTCAAAAAGCTGAAAATAAAATGTTGAATATTTCACTGAACCTCACTTGTTTCAAATGAATTAAACCCAACTATAACAAAAGATGTTTCAAATTAATTACTTGAAAAGTGTGTGAAAATATCATTCTTTTAGCAATTTTGAAAATACAATGATACCGAAAACAATTAATATTTATATAATTTAATATTTTGTTCACGCTCATTACGTTGATTGTTGACCTAGGAATAAAATAAGCAATTCAATTCAGGTTTACTGACGAGCCCTGGAATTGGGCGAAATCGCAATCAAGGCCAGTTATGTTGCTCTGTGGACCCTAATTTTCAGGTTTAAATGGTTTTTATATTTTGTGACACAATGAATGGAGAATAAATAAACAAAAGGCATAATTTTTGTGTCATTTAAAAATTAATTTCTTAATTAAAAGTCAAAATTTTGGTATGCATTCAATTCTTTAAAGCCTGCACAGTTTCAGTAAAATCACGTAAAAACCTCTTAAAAATAAACGATAACATTTTAAATAATTTTAATTTTTTTAATTAGTTTATGGCAAGATGCCCTGGGTGGAAAAGACCTATTTTTCTTATTGTATAAATACTTAAAAGTGATAATTTGCGGGAAAGTCAAATGAAGGCCCATCAAGGAACGGACCTCTCTTGAGGCCCTGCGTTTTGCCACAGGTGTTGCTGTTTCTTCACATTTTGTGATTTTGCTCTCTTATTTTGACTTGATTTGTGAATAATAAAAAGTTGTTTCTGGCGGGACTCTAGTCTTAGACCTTTCACCACTATAAACTAAGCTGGGGAATTATATGCATAACGAAATATATTAAATTAACAATATAAATTCAGATGTTTAAAATTGACTGATGAGGAATAGATTTATGCACACTCACAGTTTTTTAGAGTTAATTAACTGACTCTACAGGATCGACACAGTGAATGAATGATATGAAATGAAGAATTGTAAAGAAAAATTTAATTCACCAAAATATTAATCGTTCTGCTAACTAAACTTTATCTAACCTAAGCAAAACACACAACAATGATAGAAGCAACCAAAAATTTGAAATATAAAATGGGTTAGGAGTGATATTTATTGATTGAAAATTTAATTTTTTTTTACTATTTAAGCAAACTTGCTTGGTTGTAAAATGCCAATACATCTCTCAAACTCAAACTTAATCTATTCTGTGGAGTAGCTAACATAAAATAGAATGTCTCGCCTTGAACCACCAATTATTAGTGTCAACACATCTGAAGATCAAACTTTTAAATAATTGCTTTTTCAAGGCTTTAAACTTCTGTGCAACAAGAGTTATAGTTAAAGTTTTCTTAATTCAAACACTGAAGTATAGAAAAAAAAATATAAAAAAAGGATCTAATTGTACGACAAATTTAAAATAACTCTGTGGAGATCTATTTAATTATGTGTCCCGTTGTAGAGAAAACGCCAATTAGATAATAACACTGGGAGATGGTCCAATCTTTTATTATAGGTAAACTCCTTATTATTTTTTTTACTTTCAATTTTTTATTTTCTTATGCAATTTTTTTTGTTCATAAACGCGTGTAAAAAAAACCATAACGATATCCTTCAGAATTACACTAGCCGTCAAGCCACACCAACCGGCCAGGTATTGAGGCGCGGAGAGAAAGGGGAAATAAAATTGAGCGCGCCGAGAAGTACAAGGTGCCTCGTGCTAGACACACCAAAGGGCCTCCTCCCTCTTTTCAAAGCGGGAACATTTCTTCACTTTCTTACGTCCGAACGCAGCAAAATCTTGGTATAAATACTGAGGCGTTCGCCACCAAAGATCACACTTGAACACCTCAAGCAACACAAACATGTTCAGCAAGGTGCGTGCCAAGCTCAAAGCCGAGATAACCCCTGGATTATATCGAGGCCGCCGCTTGTTCACTTTAATTTTTCCAACCCTTTTCGCTGAAATTAAAATTTGTTTCAAAAATTCCAGGTCCTCGCCATTGCCGCCTTCGTGGCCGCCGCCTCCGCCGGAGTCGTGCCCGCCGTCAGCACCTACGCTGCTGCCCCCGCCTACGGCTATGCCGCCCCCATTGCCCGCGCCGCTTATGCCGCCCCCGCCTATGGCTACGCCGCCCCCATTGCCCGTGCCGCTTATGCCGCCCCCGCCTACGGCTATGCTGCCGCCCCCGCTGTTGTTGCCGCCCCCGCTCTCGCCAAGGCTGTTGTCCCCGCTCAGTATGATGCCAACCCTCAGTACAGGTAATTTCAAATTTTTAATAATTTTCCCTCCGGAATTTTACTTACAAAAATTTTACTTCAATTCAGCTACGCTTACTCCGTTGCCGATGCCCTGACCGGAGACAACAAGGAGCAGCACGAGACCCGCAACGGAGATGTTGTCCAGGGCTCTTACTCCCTCATCGAGGCCGACGGAACCCGTCGCGTCGTCGACTACACCGCTGACCCCATCAACGGATTCAACGCCGTCGTCCACAAGGAGGCCGCCGTCCAGAAGGCTGTTGTTGCCGCCCCCGCCTACGCTAAGGTCGCCGCTCCTCTGGCTTATGCCGCCCCCGTCGCCAAGGTCGCCGCTCCCCTCGCCTACGCCGCCCCCGCTGCCTACGGTTATGGTGCCCCCGCCTACGGCCGTGCCATCCTCGGTTAAGTCCACTTAACATGTTGTAATTAATTTATATTTATGAATTTGAAACAAAATGTCCCGTTTTCGTGGGCGTCCACGCTGTATAAGACTTGAATAAAATGTACATTTGAGTTTGTACAAGAACACAGATATTTTATATTTCATTTGTTTAAAACTTTATTAACAAGCAAAGTTTAATTTGCTAAAGATATGATTTGGTACATAATTTTGTCTTTTTATATATAAAATATTCATTCAAGAGAAATATTTTATGATCTAAAAATCTATATGAAAAGTGAATATAAAACCATGCCTTGTAGTGACTTCTTAATTAAGATGTAAGTTGAAAGTAGTTTTCAATTGAGTTTTCTATTAAGACCATACTTATTGCGCCTTCATTAGTTAATTAGTTTGTAATTAAAATATTTCTCGTACATTTAACAAATCTTAATTTGTCCTTATTGGTGGTTAATTAATTCATTTATTTTTTGGCGATTTTTCGTATGAATTTAATCATTTGAATCCAGGTTTTTGCATGTTGAAATTATTATATCTATTCAGCTGCTTTTCAGAGGTTCAAATTTTTATCATTTAGTTTGCACATATGAAAAAAATTATGTCCATATGAAACTTCAAAAAGAGGAGAGAGCAAAATTAGGATAATAAATTTTTCGCCCATGTTTACGTTCATACTAAAAGCAACGAAAATTTTTATGGAATTTATAAGCTTCATGTTTGCTATTATTAATTAAATATTAATAAATATGACATTACATTATTACAATAGTAATAAATTTTATTAATTGACTTTTCTATTATTACTTTTTTATTACTATGTGTGCTGCAAATTTGTTGCCTGTGACCTGGACCACGTGTAGTCCTCAGCACAATGAAATCAAAAAGATATGATTTTTCTTTTCGAAAATGTAGTCTTACAGTTGCTTTAATAGATTCTTTCAACCAAAAGGTTATCCATAGATTTTAAGGACACAATTAGCTTAAGCTACAAATTTAGCGCCCAATATAATTACGCTCAAGATTCTATTTCCAAGGTCAAGGATTAAAGAGATCGATTTTTTATGTGACCTGAATAAATGGTTAGATACACAATTTTGGGACAATCACTAATTCAACGTTACAACTATTTTTGCAGCACTATAATTAAAAAGGAGTTATTGGTGCTAGAAAATTTTTCGTTTATCAATATCGCGGTTTCTCACTGTTCTTATAATTTTAATAAGTAAAACAATTAACTTAGATAGAGATTTTAAAACTTTGGATATCATAAAAAAGTAAAATAAATAAAACACCACGAATCTCATTTATTTCTTTCCCAAAGAAAAAATGTAAGAGGGTATTTTTCTTTTTTAAATTTCGTTTTACACGAGAAATTTGAAAATAATTCACCTTCGTGTTAACCCTAAGCCATTCTTGTTGTTGATATGACGAAGGGCGTAAAAAGTCTGGTAGTGATAAAAAATATATCACGCCATAAAACAATAAAAGAATTAAAATAAATAAATTTATTTATTATCCGCATGGGAGCAAAGATTTTCAATGTTCCAGAGCATTATTCCGTGCCTGATTTCTAGAAAAAAATGCTCAAATCTTTAATAACAAAAAAGAGTGAGGCCACCAAAAATATGTATAATTATTATCATTAGTACAACTCTTGTACTGCCTTATTGTGTGATATTACATAATAACTATACTTTTGCAATTTAGAATTCACTCATTTGCAATCAAGTCTAAAATAACAAGAAAACATAATTTTCAGCTTAGTATTGAAATAAGTGGGCAATTCCAAAAAAACCATTTTTAATAATATATTAATTCTTTGAGAATTTAAAACCCATGTATCTCCTGTCTCAGAACGTTATTCCATGTAAAGGCGTTTAGTCAAAAGTTACTAACTTAAATCTCATTTTTTTTTATTAGCCCAGGAAACTTATCTTTCACTCGACTTCATTTACTGTATTAGAAGATAATGTTTATTTTTTTCTGATAATAAAGTCTCATTAAAGAAAAAAAATGTATAAATAAAATATAAAGAAAAATTTTATTCAATTTATATTTTTGTTAAGAATTTTGAGCTTTTTTCATTGACCTATGCGTTAACCTAGCTTAAACTAAATTCATGAAAAGTAAAACATTTAAAATTAAAGAAAACCTACATAAAAATTTGAATTCTAATGTGAGAAAATACAATTAAGAGAATAAAAACAGAAAATCAACCCCATGAAATATAATTATACTAGAAAAAGAAATTATTAAATCGTGTAATTCAATTCAATGCAATTAGAACGAAAGTAAATTAAATCTAGAATTTTGTAGGAAAATTGCAAGTTACAGCCAAACAACGCAAACCGGCCTGGCAATGAGGCGTGGAGAGAAAGGGGAAATAAAATTTAACGCGCTGAGAATTGCAAGGTGCCTCGCTCTTGCTAGACACACCAAAGGGCCGCCTCCCTCTTTTTAAAACCGGGAACATTTCTTCACGTTGCTGAACTCAAACGCAGCAAAATCTTGGTATAAATACTGAGGCGTTCGCCACCAAAGATCACACTTGAACACCTCAAGCAACACAAACATGTTCAGCAAGGTGCGTGCCAAGCTCAAAGCCGAGATAACCCCTGGATTATATCGAGGCCGCCGCTTGTTCACTTTAATTTTTCAACTCTTTTCGCCAAAATTAAATTTTGTTTAAAAATTTTTAGATCCTCGCCATTGCCGCCTTCGTGGCCGCCGCCTCCGCCGGAGTCGTGCCCGCCGTCAGCACCTACGCTGCTGCCCCCGCCTACGGCTACGCCGCCCCCATTGCCCGCGCCGCTTATGCCGCCCCCGCCTACGGCTACGCTGCCCCCATCGCTCGTGCCTATGCCGCCCCCGCCCTCGCTCGCGCCGCTTATGCCGCCCCCGCCTACGGCTACGCCGCCGCCCCTGCCATCGCCAAGACCGTTGAGTTCGACGCCCACCCCCAGTACAGGTAAATAAGACATTATTCAGATAATTTCAATTTTTTGATTTCAACTTTCTCAAATTCAGCTACGCTTACTCCGTGTCCGACGCCCTGACCGGAGACAACAAGGAACAGCAGGAGACCCGTGACGGCGATGTTGTCCGTGGATCTTACTCTCTGATCGAGTCCGACGGAACCCGTCGTACCGTCGAGTACACCGCCGATGATGTCAACGGATTCAACGCCGTCGTCCACAAGGAGGCCGCCGTCCAGAAGGCTGTTGTCGCCGCCCCCGCCTACGCTAAGGTCGCCGCTCCCCTGGCTTATGCCGCCCCCTCCGCCTACGGTTATGGTGCCCCCGCCTACGGCCGTGCCATCCTTGGTTAAGTCAGCCAGAATTGTTGTAAATTATTAATATATTTATCAATTTGAAACGAAATGTCTCGTTTTCGTGGGAAACCACGCTGCATAAGACTTGAATAAAATGTACATTTCATTTTGTACTTCATACCAATAATTATAAATCTATTTACTTTTGAAACCCTCGCCTAATAAATTATAACCATATTCATAAAATAGGCCTTAGTCCTTGCCGAGTTCTTTGAATAGATTAAATCTGATGTAAAAAGATGTGTGAATTTCAACCACATTAGATTGGCATAGGCAGCGCTCGACCTTGCATCATTTAATAGCAGATTTAACCTAGTCGAAAATGATACACTATGCCAATGACTTATATCCCAGACCCAATTTTTTTCCATGAATTTTATTCTGCAAACAACAATTAATATTCCCTACTTTTTAATTATACTACGTGCATTTTTCTTCCATGTAATTTATTAAATAAGGATGATATTTAATAAAAAATTCATAAATTAAATCAGCACTAAATAAGTTAAATGCAATTAATTTATTTTTAATGCACACACTTTTTAACCGTTAAAAATTTTACAAAGCATTTCAAGCCCAAAAGTGTGTTTGTGCTGAAATTCAACTCAAACTTGAGCAAGTTGCAAATAAAAAGTAATGATAGAGCACGTTTTACAGCTCTGATTTAACATGCATGCTAAACCGCTCCCGCAATATCACACATTTCTCTTTTTGCAAGTGTTTAATGGTGGACTAGTGCAGAGGCATTCCGATTGCCCTAAAGCAAAACATTTATACTAGAGTTGCTGCTACTGACTTGCTGACTTCGATAATAAGATTTAATAGCTTCCTTAATTTGCACCTGCCGCGATAAAGATTAGGACTTTTATAAAAAAAAAAAATAATAATATAAATTTCATCTGGACAAAGAGGTGTGCTTTGAAAATTATAGATGGAGATAGAATTATTCTCCATTGTAGACAAATGCCAGTTAAAGTTTTATTTATTATTATTATTTTCAATTTAAATCGAAAAGATTTTTTATAATTTTTTTTTAAATTCATTCTGAAGCACCTTACACAAGCTGTGCATCTTTAGAAGCGTGATGAGAGCAGCAGAAAATGTGCATAATTTATTGGTTTGAGGCCAAAAAAATAAAATGCAAAAAAGTGAGACAGAACTTATTTCTCAAGCTCTCATAATTTATCCCTGGCTCCCCATTCGGCCTCTCCGTGACTTTTCAAAGCCAAGAAAAAACACTGCCATGAATTGAAAATTACACTCCACCATAAAATTTGTATAAATAATCTGTGTCACCGAGAACCTGCGCCCGTCTTACTGTACTTCATCGTGAAAAATTTGCGGAGCAACTTTCGCTCTTTTCGTCCCTTTGGTTGTAAATTAAGATGATGGCAAAATACACACGTATGATATCGAAAATTATTATTGCACCGCATTTACAAGCGCGGCCAAAATACCTCTCACATTGCATCAGCGAATACACCAACCAAAAAAACCTTTGTCGGCCAATCACAATAACGAGTTGGACAACTATGAGCATACTAGTCTCTCTCAGGGCGTTCCTCGCGCCTACCCAGTGCACTAAAAATCCATAGCGCCTGAATTCCTTCAAGGTGCGGAGAGAAAGGGGAAATAATATGGAGCGCTGGTCCGTCCAAGGGCCAACTCCCTCTTTAAACCGCCGCGACGGGGTATTTCTTAACTTTGCTAAACCCGAACGCATGAGCGAAATCTTAGTATAAATACTGAGGCACCCGCCGAGAAAGATCACACTTGAACACCTCAAGCAACACAAACATGTTCAGCAAGGTGCGTGCCAAGCTCAAAGCCGAGATAACCCCTGGATTATATCGAGGCCGCCGCTTGTTCACTTTGATTTTTCAACCCTTTTCGCTGAAATTAAAATTTGTTTCAAAAATTCCAGGTCCTCGCCATTGCCGCCTTCGTGGCCGCCGCCTCCGCCGGAGTCGTGCCCGCCGTCAGCACCTACGCTGCTGCCCCCGCCTACGGCTATGCCGCCCCCATTGCCCGTGCCGCTTATGCCGCCCCCGCCTACGGCTACGCTGCCGCCCCCGCTTACGGCTATGCTGCCCCCGCCCTCGCTCGCGCCGCTTATGCTGCCCCCGTTGTTGCCGCCCCCGCCATCGCCAAGGTCGCCGTCCCCGCTGAGTACGACGCCAACCCTCAGTACAGGTAATTTCAAATTTTTAATAATTTTTCCTCCAGAATTTTACTTACAAAAATTTTACTTCAATTCAGCTACGCTTACTCCGTTGCCGATGCCCTGACCGGAGACAACAAGGAGCAGCACGAGACCCGCAACGGAGATGTCGTCCAGGGCTCTTACTCCCTCATCGAGGCCGACGGAACCCGTCGCGTCGTCGACTACACCGCTGACCCCATCAACGGATTCAACGCCGTCGTCCACAAGGAGGCCGCCGTCCAGAAGGCTGTTGTTGCCGCCCCCGCCTACGCTAAGGTCGCCGCTCCCCTGGCTTATGCCGCCCCCGCCGCCTACGGTTATGGTGCCCCCGCCTACGGCCGTGCCATCCTTGGTTAATTCACCTGACCTGAAGAACATCTAATTTATTATAAAACTTTAAGATCATGTTCACTTCATCCTGTTCACTTCACATGTTTTTGTGGATTTTTGCCACGGTTGTTAAGACTTTGAAATGAATAAAATGTACAAACGAACAGTACTTTAAACAGAAACAAATTATACTCTATATTTCTTGCAACTTTTCCTATATATCACTTTTTGGTATTCAAATTAAAGAAAAAGAAGGGGAAATATTTAAGAAATAATTAGTTTTTCACTTACTGTTTGGTTCTAATTATAATTGAAGTGTAATGTTAAAAATTGAGCAGCAATATTACATTTCTTTTGTTCTGAGATTTTTAGTGCAGGTTGGGTTACTCTGACAAAATTTAATACGCTATAAAATTTTCCGCTAGTCATCAAGTCACTTTGTAATGAAATGATATAATTCTTGTGAAACATTCTTTACATTATACAAACGCATACAATTATTTTGTCACGTCAAGAAACTTCCTATAACAATAATTTTATAGAAATTATTTGCAATATAATAGCACTGCTTTTAACTTTGTGTTCCCGGGAGAAATACAATGAATAAAATTCTCCAGTTAATCTTATTTCTAAAGAAAGATTGCAATGAAGATAAGTAAGCTTATCTTTATTATATGTTCCCAGTTGTGTTTAGTATTGGATTTGAATTAAAGGTAATTAAAAAAAATTATAATTATATAAAAAAATCTTAATTTTTCTCTAAAGTAAGTTTTAAGAGAATTTTAAAAATACTTCATATCATTCAGCTTCACAAATTTTGACAAAATTTATTAATCATGAATTAAACTGGAATGAAAGAAATGTAGAGACTGGGATTTTTCCTCTTTGCAGATATTGTTATTATACAAAAACAAATGGCTCTACAAGTTTCGGTCACGGTCTGCGACGCTATTTCATCAGCAAACGCGCTGCTCGCTGAATAATAAAAGAATTAAAGAATGTAATTTTGGGAGTACAGTTTTTGATTATTTGTAAAAAACAAATTATTTTTCCTTTTAGGAATGAAAGTTATTATTTTATATGATATGCAAATGAATGTATTTCTTATTATCGTATTTTGTTGACAATCATTCATGTTTGCTTTTTTATCTTTGTTTTTTTTACGTTCATATAAGCAAAAAGAATTTTAATATAATAATGACCAAATTTTAAATTGTTTTTGGGGTGGTGGAATGTGATTTCATTCCATAATGCAATAAAGCTAGAATAATAATAATAATGATATTAATAATATTTTTTGAGTGAAATTAATATCAGTAATTTACTTCCATCATTCATGGTTGCTATAAAACTATAAATTGCAATATTAGTAAGTATTTTAAAACCACGCAGATAATAATTTGAAACGGAGAACAAAGACTATAAGAACCAGTTTAGTCTCAACACGATCGGTGTGTGAATGAAAACATTTGAAATAATAAGGCGGCATATCTGAAAAAATCCATCTCATTGACATAATTAAATTGTCGGCAGCCGCGAGTACAAATCAAATAATGCCTTTCTGATATGGAACTGCTCGAATTGAAAGAATAGCGGTCTAGGCGTGGTCTAATACATAATCATGTTATAAATGCCTTACATAAGGAGCACTAGCAGGTGCGGTGGCTACCTGCACCGCAACCAGCGGGCACGAAAAATTCCCCCCGAACTTGCCAAGTAAAATAAGTCCCGAGGGCAACACAGCTGCAGCGTGCAAGTGCATATCTCTCATCCGAGTACTTTATTGTCTCCACTTTCTACGCCGCACACTTGAGAGAAAGGAAAATCTAACTGGAGCAAATAGTGCATGTTTTCCCACTTCTATTTTGGAGGCACTTCTTTTTTGCGTCCCGCCGGCCAGCCGGCCGCAATTATACACGACTGCATTTTTTAACAATTACAACTATTTTTCCCTCATTACTGTAGAACCAGTATTTGCCTAACTGTGGTATAAATAGTGGACAATTCCAAGCACCGAACATCAGTCCACTGCGACATCATAACAAAGCAACAGCAATTCAATGGCTTTCTGCAAGGTAAGCCCACCGGAGCCCTGCGCCTCGAATTGGATACCTTTTTGGATTTTGTGACACCAAGAAACGTGCAAATCGTGCATTGTGAACCCACAGAGAAGAGGATTTGCGTTTAAAACACAACTGTGTGATTTCAGATCATCCTCCTGGCCGCCGTCGCCGTCGTGGCTCAGGCCCAATATTTCGCCCCCGGATATGGATACGCCCCGGCCGTGGCCAAAGTTGCTGCCCCACTTGCCTATGCCGCCCCCGTGGCTAAGGTCATCCCCAACGAATTCGACGCCAACCCTCACTACAGGTTCTCTTTTTTTCCTTAAAAAAATTCAGGAGAGTTGTTAATATATTTAAAAAATTTCAGCTACTCCTACGCCGTGGCCGACGCCCTGACCGGCGACAACAAGGAACAGCACGAGAGCCGCGACGGTGACGTCGTCTCTGGATCTTACTCTCTGGTGGAGCCCGACGGCAGCCGCCGCATCGTCGACTACACCGCCGACCCCGTCAACGGATTCAACGCCGTCGTCCACAAGGAACCCGCCGTTGTTCACGCCCCCGCCCCCGCTTATGGCTACGCCGCCCCCGCCCCCGCCTACGCCAAGGCCTACCTGGGTTAAGAAAGCACCCTTTCAGAGGAAGAGAGCAAGAGAAGAGGCTTCTTAGTTTATTTGTAGAGTAGAAATTGTAGTTACCCACCATCAACACATCATCATTACACACAACTTATCGCACTGTTAGCCAAATTACTGATCAAATTGCCAATGTGAGGAGATACGAAAATAAATTTACAACAACCGTACGACCCAAAATGGAATTGTTTCTTTGCCTTCAACAGAACAATTTTAATAACACCATAAGTATATTAAATTATATTCGTATGCAAATTCCAACTTTTGAAATCTAATAAAATAATGTTGAATTTGAAATATTTGCAACAATTAACATTTCTTAGCTTTAAGATATCAAGCAATTATTTGAAACCATGCTGTAAAATTCAATGATATTGTTTAAACCAAATATTTAATATTTTTTTCATTTTTTTCTTGCAACGAGGAACCCGGTTTTAAGTTTTCATATTTAATACATTTCATTATACTCTACTCTAAAAAGTGAAACTCATTCATGTCCTATCTCAACCAACAATAAGTGACGAACGTAAAACCGCGCACATTATAACCGCGCCAGTTATCATATTAATAAAATCTACGAATATTGCCAGGAGAAAAATCGGCACGCGCTCGGATTTTTGGCAATAATTCGCCTCACCCGCGGCTTGACCCTTGACAGATCGCTTTCCCTTGGCCTTGGCCTTGGCAATTATAGTTTGGTGTGTTGGTGTGATGAATGCTCAATTGCCGCGGCAGATAGTTGAGTGATGCCTGCGCTCTATCTGTGAATTGTGGCTCCTGGCTATTTGCAAGCCAGGGTCTTTCGCAGGATAATCATGTCAAATTATTGCAGCATCGCACTGATCAAAGACAAGATAGAGCTGGAAGGTGCAATTAAATTGAATAGACGGCTGATGCAAATGCAATGGCATTTCAATTAGATTGGGGTGGAGTTCCGTAATGAATATTTAATATTAAACACGGCGCGGCTTCAAAAGCAAAATTAATATATGAATTTAAAATTTAAATAAAGTGAAAAAAATATTAATAAATGCGGAAAAATAACACTGTTTCATTTGAAAAAATAAAGGATCATTGAAACTATAAATTATTAAAATTATTATAATATTTATGCAAATTCATTTAGTTTTTAAAGATATAACTTATATAAGTGGATTATTTCACACTAGGATATTTAAGCAGAATCATTAGTGTGGGTTACATTGCACAAAAATACATAACTGATATACAGGTATTAGACCATAGCGGCCAAATTCCATCAAAAGGTGTGGAGATAAAAGAGAAAGGGGAAATAATACAAAAAGCTGGTGCGTCCGAGGGCCACCTCCCTCTTTAGAACGCCACGCCAGGGCATTTCTTCACTTTGCTAAACCTGAACTCGAGCAAAATCTTAGTATAAATAACGGGGTACGCGCCACCATAGAGTACACTTGAACAACTCAAGCAAAGCAACATGTTCAGCAAGGTAAGTGCCGAGCATACAGCCGAGATAACCCCTGGATTATATCAAAGCTGCCTGCGCGTTTTACATTCAGTGCCCTTTCGCCTCTTCGGCCCAGTTTGAATTTCTTTGTGAATTTTCAGATCCTCGCCCTCAGCGCCTTCGTGGCCGCCGCCTCCGCCGGAGTCATCAACACCTACGCCGCTGCCCCCGCATACGGCTATGCTGCCCCCGTCACTCATGCCACCTATGCCGCCCCCACCCTGGCCCATGCTGCTTATGCCGCCCCCGCCTACGGTTACGCTGCCGCCCCTGCCATCGCCAAGACCGTTGAGTTCGACGCCCACCCCCAGTACAGGTAAATAAGACATTTTTCAAATTATTTCAATTTTTTGATTTCAACTTTCTCAAATTCAGCTACGCTTACTCCGTGTCCGACGCCCTGACCGGAGACAACAAGGAACAGCACGAGACCCGTGACGGCGATGTTGTCCGTGGATCTTACTCTCTGATCGAGTCCGACGGAACCCGTCGCACCGTCGAGTACACCGCCGATGATGTCAACGGATTCAACGCCGTCGTCCACAAGGAGCCCGCTGTCCACCAGAAGACCATCGTCGCCGCCCCCGCCTACGCTAAGGTCGCCTCTCCTCTGGCTTATGCCGCCCCCGTGGCCCACGCCGCCTATGCCGCCCCCGCCTACGGTTATGGAGCCCCCGCTTATGCCGCCCCCGCCTACGGCCGTGCCATCCTTGGTTAAGTCATCTCATCAGAAGAGCAGCTAATTTATTATTGTAAAATTTCAAAATCATTTCCAATTCATCATGTTCACTTCGCATTTTTTCGTGGATTTACTCCATGGTTGATAAGACTTTGATATATCATGAATAAAACGTACAAACGAACAGTACTTTAAACAGAAACAAACCACACTATTATTTGTAAAATTTCCCATGTAAAATCAAAAGAAATCTCATTAACTTAAAAATAATTAATGCAGATTCAATGAACAGCCAACAGAAACGAAAAATTAACAATGCAAGGTTTCACTCTCTCTATGCACAGCTAATGAGCTAATGATTAATTAAATGCAAATTAATAGTATCTACCTTGTAAACTTTCTTAAGATTGAGCAACGAAAACAAAAGTTAATTTGATGGATGATGAAAATAAATTTTTACTATTGTCATACATTAAAAATTTAAATCCTTACTACTTCTACAATTTTCTAAAAAAAATAAGCCTTGTAGAATTAAATAATTTATAACTTTAATAATTTTCTAAAGTGAAATACATTACATGAGAAGCATATTCTTCATAATCGTGACATTCAGCAGAATAATTTATGTATCTTAAAAACTGCTAAATAATTAATATTTAATATAACAAGTGAACAATAATCAAGATTGATTTCATATTGATAGTAAGAATTCTTTCCATGTAAATAATATTAAAATTTGCATCAACTAAAATAAAGAAATAATATCTACGTGGCAAGTATTAGTTTGGGAAATTATCTGAACACATATAATGTTAGGCGATATACTATTACCTCAAATTGAAATTTAACTCCGCAACTACGCGTCAAAAATCCACTGGGCAAATTATGCAATGATTTTGGCACAAGACCGTACCGAAGGTGCGAGAAAGATTAGAGGATTTTCATGACACGTCGTAAAACGCGAGTGACTCGTGATCGCCGTCACCTAATTCAAGTGACTTGATGCACTTGTACGGTTAATTGCCGCTGACCCTGTCAAGCAGCTTTGCGGCTTGACTCGCAGCGCGGCGGCGGTCACTAAAAATAAGACTCATTACAACAGGCGTGGTTTTAGCCGCGATCAAGAGAGATGCATTGTTTAAAAATTGGAGTACCGAGAGTGGTAGTGAATGACAAGCGCGACACAATTACCAAGGAATGCCACGCAACCTTTTCAGAGACGCTGGATGCCCCTTTTGAGGAGTGCGAGGGGCACGTGATGCGTGTGTGTCATATGAAAAGATGGAAACTGAACTAGTTAACAGATTTCCCACTCTTTAATTTTCCCTCACTCATTTACAGCTTCTTTTTTAAATTCAGAAAAGATCTACGTGCGCACATGAAAAATCATCTTCACCGAGTGGGTATAAATAGTGCACCGCACGCCAGGTGAATCATATTCATCTAGGATTATCTACAATCAACATGATCTGCAAGGTAAGCATTCTGTTCAAAAATTAAATTATTTCGATTATAACTCTAATGAAAATATAACAATTGAAAGTTTTTATTATAAATTTTTTCATTTATTTTTTAATGAATAATAAAATCAATTTTTATTATTTAAATTTAGGCTCTGCTGTTTGTTTAATCCAGAGCTCATTACTATTGATTAATTGGAAGTTTTTGTCTCTGTAAATCACATGTAATTTGTTCTGGAGATTTCAACGCACGATAAATTTCAGGTTGTTCTTCTCGTTGCCCTTGCCGGCGTGGCGCAGGCCGGTGTGCTTGCCCCCGCCTACAGCTATGCCGCCCCCGTTGTTGCACATGCCCCCGTGGCCTATGCCGCCCCAGCCTACGCCGCCCCTGCGTACGCTGCCCCTGCGTATGCCAAGGTCGCCACCCCTGTCGTCGCGGCCGCCAAAGTTGCACCCAACGACTTTGACGCCCATCCCCAGTACAGGTGCGAGTATATCTTTTTATGTGGCCATTGCTTGGCACTTGTGAATTTTTTTGCGATAACCATCGGCGGTGGCGCAATGCACGGCCGCTCAGGTTCCATTTTTCAACGCGGTGTGGGTGCTTTAGGGCGTCGGCCCGACCCGAGTGAAAACTTTTTTGACTCACTTGTCGCTCTGGCGCAAAAAAAAAAGGCGACCGTAAATTAGCCGTCGATTGCCTTTACGGACAAATAAACATACCCATTATAATTGTTTCGGCTTTGAACAACGTTTGGAAAACATTTTTGATAATCTGCATCACGCTCCAGTTGTTTTCAAATCTGTGCAGCTCGCCATAAATTGGCCACTTTGGCCGTTTCGGTCGTGACCAACACACACAATTCCAATAACACCGATTAAAGCATTAACCGCCGCGTTCGGATTCCACTGTCACTTTCCGTTCAATGCCACTGCAGAGCAATTTATGATTAATCGAGTTTATGCATTCCGCATGTTCATTGTACATTGATTTTAAAAATGAATTATCTTTTAAACACGAAAATAAGAATCGTTGAATTATTGAAGGGGGAATAATGAGAGCAAATTTCACAAGCTCGCCGTTTCGCAGCTTTCTTTTATCAGCAGGTCAGATTGATTTAATTATCAGGAAATCAGCAATTTTGAAAATGCTTATGTTTAAAATTTAAAAATTCAATTAAAAACTGCTTTCATTTATGTGATAAATAAAAACTTGTAATAATTTACTTTTAAATTTTCTTAAAATTATTTTTGATAAAAAATTTCAGCTTCTCGTACTCGGTGGCCGACGCCGTGACCGGCGACAACAAGGAACAGCACGAGAGTCGTGATGGCGACGTCGTCCAGGGCTCTTACTCCCTGGTGGAGCCCGACGGCAGCAAACGCACCGTCGAGTACACCGCCGACCCCGTCAACGGATTCAACGCCGTCGTCAACAAGGAGCCCGCCGCGGCCAAGGCCTACGTCGCGACCCCCGTCGTGGCAAAGGTCGCCACCCCGGTCCTCGCCAAAGTCGCCACTCCCGTCGCCTACCACGCACCCCTGGCTTACCACGCCCCGGTCGTGGCTCACGCACCCTTTGCCTACCACGCGCCCTATGTTTCGCACGGCCCCGTCGTCGCCCACTACTGAACCCAAGAAACACCGACTGACCCGAAATGACGCCCTCTGAGACAACCGCAGCATGTTTGTTTGTTTATTTGCCCTATTTACATGTATAAACTTTTAACGAAATATTCAACTAAATTAGTCTTCTGTGTATAATTTATTGTATAGAAAACGAGAATGAATAAATAAATATATGTTAAAATACATAGCCTGAGCAAGATCAATATAATCGGATTGGCATTATTTTCCCGCACCACCTGGTTCTCTCTTTCTTTGCAAGTGACAGATGGCGGCGCACCAGACGCCGGCTTTCAGGTGTGGCTGTATCGGTCACTTTTTGTCTTATTACCTAACCAGCACGCCCTGAAAGTGTAACACGGCGTGAGTCAACAGTAAAAATTTTGAGTCGCCATTGCCAAGTGTAAAGAGAAATGCTTTCTCGCGCCGATTGTCATTCAGCCGGCGCGCGTGCATTTCTTTGTCGCTAAATTTTCACGCGCGGCGCAGAGAAAAGTTCATTACTGAGAAAATGCGCTTGATTTGTTGTTTTGGCTTGTGTGGCCCTCGAAATGAAAAGTCACGCCGATCCACCCAGTGACACAAATTTAATTATTGCAAATCCATTTCAGAGCGAAATGGGCGTCAAGGCCGATGTGTGAATTCTTTCCAAACATTGCAGATCGTTAAAACTTGTTTCGGGCTGCCCATGAGTTGGCAATTAGTGTTTTGGAAATTGCCACGTGATGATGAGTGAGTTTTACGATTTAATTGCCAGTTTTGATTCTCGGAAAACATCGACTATATCAATGTTATAAGAGTGGAATAAAAAAAATGCTTTAAAGATTTGTCAAAAGAAACGGAAATTTGGGAAATTTCTCACTCCAATGACAGATTTTTCTTGATTTATAAAAAAAAAAACACTTTAAAAATATACAATTCCAATTGAAAAATATAAAAAAATTAAAAATATTTGAATTGTTGAATCAAAATTGAGTGTATTCAAAATTTAGATAGCGATTAAAAGTTGAAACTAATTGTAAAAGTAAATTCACCCTTGACGCCTTTTACAGAATAAAAATAAATAAAATTAAATATACAACTTGAGAATTTATTTTATCTAATTATACTTAAAAAAATTGAAATATGGTTTTTCAATTTGTTAATTTAATTGTATTTTTCTTGCTCATGGAATAGGGCCGCAGACTGTGACCAAAACTGGTAGAGCCATTTGTTTGTGAATAAAAACAATTTTTTACAACAAAGAAAAAGCCCGAGTTCTTAATCGCTTCCATGATCATCTCCTCGAGTGTCAATTTCTTCGAAAAAATTTTATTTACTTATTGATTTTTTATTTTTTATATTACATTAATTAATTCAGTTGTTAAAATTTCCTCAGATTTTTATGCTACAAATAATAAAGATGAAAATTTCAATCTCAAAAATGTTGATGGATCAATTTGTGGAGTATTTTAAACATCAAGTGAAATTTTTTATGTAAATTTAAAAATAATAATTCCTATTACAACTAAATGACAGTCATTTATGGCTTTATAAAGAGATAATAAATGTCTGAAAAATTACTTTCAGGCTGTCGACAAAATGCAAATCTAAACCGACCTATCCAAAGTCGTAATAGATTGTCCATTTTCTCGTGTCAAGAGAAATAATTCTCAAAAATGATGACAAGCAGAAGCAGATAGAATTTGATCTAGAAAAGATTACGATCTGCCGACCAAGAGAGCAGCTGCGGAGTTTGCACAACCTCACTTAAAACGCTTCGTGTGCGTGCCCTAGTAAGGTAAAATATGTATTTTACTGCTGCACTCTCTTACGTACAATTAAATTAATTACAGCATTTCTGCCCACTCTCGTCGCATGTAAAACAACGCGGAGGAACCAGTTCGGCGATAAACGTAATTTCAAAACGCGACGTGCTGATAAATTGGCAGAGTCTTGCACGCGCTTTTAATTAAAAGTTCCACGCCGGATAATTGTTCGATTTCCGTGTTGGGCTCGTTAGTTGGGTTGAAAGGTGGTCTGTGTGCGTCGCTCGTAACCAAAGACGACGGCTGCTAATAAATTTGATGCAGATGGAGCTGCGCCACGAACAATTACCATAATAATAGAACCCGAGTGTGTGTTTGTATGCGGATCAGTGAAAGTTTTTCTCTTCTTATTCCAAATGCTGCTCGGTTGCGCAAGAACCTGTTGATGTGATGTAAAAAGTGATCTAATGTGGACCGGCGACTCGTGGAGGGGACCCTATTTGCCCCTGACCCTGATTAACGCTATTGTTTTTCAAAAAAACGACGCCTTGCCTTTGTGAGTTCTAAGTAATTGCTTTAGGCCTAATATTTATAAACGCAGATAATTAAAGTCTTAAACGGAACAATTTTGGCACTTACTTTAAATTCGAGGTGATTTCCAGCCACGATCCTAAGATTGGTATAATTGGTGCAGCAAATTGGAATAAGAGACGCAGGGGCTCTCGTTACACCCGCACAAGCAAAGATGCTCTCGATACTGACTCAGCTTGAAGATGATACTTTTTAACCGGTTTCGTTGCAGCTCTCATTACTAACGGGGGATATGTATAAAAAAATCATCCTCAAATGGAAGCAGCCGTGATGCTGCAATATTTTTCTACTTTCAGTCTCATTGTATACTTCTAAGCGACTGGCCTTTCGCTCAATCAAATGCAAACCTTCTTTTGCCATTTAAATTCCGGACGCTGATAAACCCGAATCGTACGAAAGCATCCGAGATAAGCAAAGGGTAACACTCACCGAGTCTGCCAAGCGCCGCGGGTGCTGTTCAGGAACCGCTTGGTCTGTCGCCAGTTTTTCCGGACCAGGGCCAGTTCTGAGCGCTTTTGGCTCTGAACACTGGCCAGCCTCGCATTTTCTTCGTTCTGCCGAGATTTGAACGCGCTTGCAATCAAAGTCTGAAAGCAAAATTTTAAATTAATGAATAAAAAAAAATTAATTTAAAATGTAGGCTTCAGACTAGAAACATATACCAAGAATTTTTCAAAACAAATTTAACGTGGAAAAAACCACTGCTCAGAAAACGAATTACAATTTCCAAATTTCAATTTTTAATTTTAATTCGTTTTCCGAGCATTGGTTTTATCGCTCAGTTTCTGAATCCACGTTAAATTTCTTTTGAAAAATTAAAACGGAAATTGGATTACACTTAACAGTGCAAACACAACACAAATGTACCTAAAAAATTGCAAAAACTCGCACTCACAGTAACAAATTAAGAATATGTTATGAAGTTTAAACAAAAATCAATAATGAAATTGTTAATTATGAATTAAAATATATTTAAAAATTTATTATTGTTTCACACTGATTTGTTATAAAAAAATGCAATAAGCAAAACTAGAGGATACATTATATTAGTATGCGTAGGTTGAAAAGCGCTCGCAGTGATTTCAATTATTAAACTTTCTCATTTTATATTTCGGATGTCCTTGGATCAAATTTAGCAACTGATTTCCCTTTTAGAAATTTCCCAAATATGCAAACTTTAATTTCTTTCATCATCAAACTGCACCTGTACATTGGTTACATTTTTCATAAAGTTTTATAAACCACTTTCTATGAGTAAAATTTATATCACATTATGCTCTTTGATATTTTAAAAAACAATTGATCTTTTGGACATTTATTTATTTCCAATATAAAAATCACCTCAATAAAAAGCACGGCAAAGTAAACACGGTATCGCCATCTACATTGATTCCTAAATACTTTCTCCATTGGTTTGCGTGGCCTAGATACGTCCTCGAGGCGTCCAAGATTGAACCAAATAGCTTGCATACCTTGTGTTGTTTTTTACTGCCCATCAGAAGTGTTGTAAATAATATACAACGGGTGGTCAATTATGAATGGCCGTGGCTCCGAATGAGATTTTACAGCTTATTCAATTTGAAAATTTGCATTCTTAAACATTCATCCAAGACTCGAGGCCTTTTAAGATTTTTGTTTGCCATTAAGTCGTAAAAATAGTTGCTCAGAAAAAAATAAGCCGCGAGTAAAATCATATTTTTAGATGATGCACTTTCCACTTGAGAAACTTCGGTCTCGTCAAGTGCAGCAGAAATTGAGGTCCGCTCACTTTTATTTCGTGATCATAATTACGAATTCACACGATGCCCAAGGTTTACTCATAAAAATTCTCATCGCCTTCAGTGGGTTGACCGACCGACAATCCATTCAATTTGGTCTTCCGAGCCATGAGAAAATTTCGCTCAAATTATCATCAAAACCGAAGTACGGACACGCGCTTTCGTTGGGCCGTTACCGTTGTGAATCGCGTCCATTGTCGGCCACCAATGGAAATATTAAATCGGTGCGCGAAAAATTTCACTCGGCTGAAACCGGACCAGCGGTGTAAACTTAATTATTCCGGTTCGACCTTGACAAGAAGTGCGACAGGGAAGAAAATTGAGTTTAATGGTGATGTGGCACCCGGATTCATCTCTTGAGCGTGACGCAGGCCATCTCGGAGAAACGAGTCCAAAGAGGCAGAAAGTGATTAGAGCAAATACGGATAATGGTTTTCTGCTCGAATCGAATTACCGCTGTTTGCTTACGACGTCTCTCAAGTGGAATGATCAATTTGATCGATGGAAAAATTAATAGCATATTACCTGGAAACGGAGCCGCGAGTCGGCCAACTCGCGAGCCCTCTTTTGCAAAGCCATTTTCGATCCTTCGTAGCACTCGGCCCAGAAGATATTCATTGCGTCGCTGAATTCGCCAAGCAGGGCTGACTGGTAACTGCGGTAAAGAGGCTTCAACTGAAATTCAAATCAAGAAGAATACATTAAACAATTTTTTTCTCATAGAATTGTAAATTTGAATAGACGAATGGACAATTAATTACCGATTTATTAATACCAAAAACTAACCAAGTCGAAATCCTCAAAATTATTGAGAAATAAAAATTTGAATTTTCCTAAATTGATTTTTTTTTAATTTCAAAATTTAATATAAAAATTACCTTGTATCCAACATTCAATCAACTCTGATGAGAAAAATTAATCGCAATAAAGGTAAACCAGGCAAACTTATCTATTAATTAAGTCCACCAAAGTCACCAAATATAATCAGTTGTTTCATTTTTTACCGCAAACCTAATAATGCGTTTACATCATTTTCAACTGGAGAACAAAAATGAACATTAAGGGTGAAGAATGGCTATGCAAAATTTAAATGTATTCACAATTTGAATTTTGAAATGGTTGTATCAGGTAATTTTTTTCAAATTTTGTTTCTGTATTTTTTCCTTTAAATATTTTCTTTTATTATTGAAATTAACAGTCTGAGCCCACGTTGAGGAAAGATAAAATAAAGCGTTTCCAAACGCTACGCTGCATTTTATTAGGTTAAAAATTCAAACAAAAATAGGAAAGCTTTCATTTGCCAGAAAATTCAACGAATTTAATTCCCTGTGATACAATTCAAAATAATGATTTTCGAATTAAAGAAGCATCTTCTGGAAGAAGAAAGTTTTTAATAGATTTTGAGTCCCGAAATCGAGATTCATCACGGTCTTTTATGACAGCATAATTAGTTTGATGCGATTCAAAAATGCAGGTGCAATAACACTTCTGTATAGAAAACAAAAACGCCGGCCGAGAGAATAATCAATCCTTCCAGAAACGAGAATTTCTCTTTTCCCCAGCAGAGATGATGCGCACCTCTCTTGTTTCATGCATGGGTGTCAATATTTGAGTCGATTTCCATACGATTAAGAAGTAGGTAACACACTCTGTGAGAGCAAACACATTGAAAAGGAGCCACCTGCTCCGAGTGACCGGCGGTTCCTGACCTAGGTGCAGTATGACCCACAGAGGAAAAACATCCGAGCTGACTAATCATCCCAAACACATGGAATGCAGCGGGATTAGCGGCTCGGAGAGTGTTTAAGTAAGTGTGCCGCTGCACCGAGTCGATGAGACTGCGTTTTGTGCTTTTCATTTTGTTCTCTGGAAAATAATTTGCTAGTCTTCAAAATTGAACGTGACATGAGAAGAAAAATCACTCCTGCCGCGCATTGGGTGGCCGGTTTTTTTTTTGGCCCAAAGTCCAAAATCCGAAAGCGGCTACTGCAGATTTTTATCGCATTAGAAATGAAAACAAGAGTCGCTGATGACTATCTATGCAAAAGTGAAGAAATAAAGCTCTCGTTCAGGCCCACACAGGCATGATTGCGAATTGATTTATGAATAATTCAGCTTTCATTTATTAAAATTTTCCATATTCCGAGTGCAGGCTTTAGGTCCCAATAAAACACTAAATTTATTGCACGCGCCAACAATTGCAAACAACCGATTTAATTAAAAATCTAGGTCTCACTCAAAGCACAAGTCAGTTCGGGGCAATAAAAGTGGCCGAATACACACGGTGGCTCAGAGGTGGGTTTCGGTTCCCAAAGATTCTTGAGAGCGCGGCTCAATAAATCACGCACGCCCTAGATTAAAAATTAATATTGCATTGATGTGCGTGTGGAGTTTTGTACAAGGCAAATTTCTGAGTGTTTTGCTGTTATCAAATAATTAATAACAGTGAAAATATTATTTTCATAATTTAATTCCCTCCAGGCTGGGTTTGACCATTTTTACATTAGCTAGAAATCTGCACGATTTGACCTCATCTGAACCTTATGAACAATCCACTGAAGGCGCCAAAGTAAAATTAGGTGGGATATATAAAGACTCGAAAACAGTGGAATGTGAAATTTCTTATCTACAAAATTTAAACTTGAATCAACTCAACAATATTAACTTGAGTGTATCGTGTACTTTAATAAAAAATTAAAGAGTATAAATAAAAATGTGTACAATTAAAGATAATTAATTAAATGAAAAAAGGTGTTCTTTGTCATCTGTTATCAAGCAAGCGTGAAATATCATTTCGCAGGTGTAAATAAATTCACCATCAAGATATATGACTTTCTCTTTTAAACCCAGCGAAATTAAACTAAACGTCTGATAAACCAACACAAAAGTAAACTGGAGTAATCGAATCAAAAAGCAAAGCAATTTTCTCGGCAGATGGTTTGCACAGATATTGCGAGTTCACACATAGGCCGGAAGAGGCAAAATTTCGAGGGTGAAAATTAGAAAAGTGCTGGCTGCGCGCGTTCAACTGCACCAGATAGAACATTGGTTGGGCCGCTTACTAGAGTATAACGTGTAGAATCATCATCAGCAAAGCCACCCGAGTGGAGCGTTGATAATTAGAAGACGGCAAAGTGCGTCTCTCGTTAATTGAGACTCTCTATTCCCTTGTGCGGTCGCTCGCGTTTTTTTGTGCTCGCTGCAGTTGGAAAGTGAAGGAAAATAACACACGCGGAGACGAAAAGAGGAACAAAGAAATAAAAACAATTTAACGGTCGATAATTTTGCAATCGGATCCATAATTATTATATTATTTTAATCGTGTTTTGCTCGATTTCGGACGCGCTGCGGCGAAATCAAAAGTGTATTTCTGGGGCACGAGTCGGCCTGCTGTGTAATTTTGAGCGATTACGCGACAATTACGGGATTCAATAGGCGCCTGAGCTGCATAAATTGAATTATTATTATTTACGCGGCACAATCACAGAGCAGTTAGCAGCGAGCGGGAAATCGGACGAAATGTAACGGGTCCGTTTCACGACGAGATATAATTTTTTAATCGCCTCGGCATTCCACTGTGCGTGTTTTTATTGCACTGAACGCCTATTCATTGGATGCAAATTAACCCATGCACACAGTTCAAGCGAAGTGAATGTATATCGAAAAATCGCGGCTTGCTTTTACAAACCAGCTTCTGGTTTTCAGTTTTCTCCCTCACTTTGCGGACATGGATAATAAAGTGAGCTGTATAATAATCTTCTTGTTCCAACATGAGCAACATTAAGTGTTGTTACGAACGAAATTAACGTCTGCCGCGTGCGTGCACGTCTCGCGAGATAACCCAATAAACAAGCTTGTGCGTCGAGATTATAATACGCACAGTACAAAAGCCACATTTGTCACGAGACGAAAAAGGACTCATTGTCAGCGGAAGTTGATTTTGATCTCAGATTTAGTACCTCGGGCTTCTCAAGGACGCACCATTTTAGAAAATTCTTGTAATTACCTGTGGGAACTGTAATAACGTGGAAAAGAGAAATAGACAAAACTAGGACAATCTTAATGCAGGAGATTAAAGGATAATGACGAGTTTCTATTAAGAACGACTTTTTCAATTACACAATTTAACTAAACAAACTAATATGCTGGGATTGATTTTATTTTATTTGCAATCGAGTCTACCCACAAACTCTGCTAATTTAAAATTACTTGAAATTTTCACAGGACCATTAAAATGGACATCATAATTATGACTATTAGTAAAGCATGAGCAAGAAAAAGACCACAAATATCATTTTATGACTTTTATGTGTAAGGTATTTAAGGAGGAGCTGATGATATCTTCAATGTAAATAAATCTTTCAAAATTTTTCCCGTAAGAACATGAATTTTGTATGTCGAATAACCTATTGATTTTATTTTTCTATCTTAATTTTGGTGATATTAATTTGATTTGGTGAAATTTTTATCAATCTTGGTCGGGCCAATTTTAAGAGAAAAAAATATTTAAATAGGAAATTCCCATAAAAAAATGTTAAATTTCAAAAATTCAGTTCTCCCAATACTATAGTCTAGTTGGAATTGAAATCTAAAACCCAATGCTAATGTATAGAAAAATTACAAGAAATCAATCGGGCCGTTTATTTCTAAAGACTCTTCTTAAAATGTTTTAAAATTGCAATTTTTTCTTCACATTTCACTAAAAAAAATATAGTAGTGAAAAGCATGAATAATTGTTTTTATCTTCCATTCGTGTTTGCAAATTATCAATTATTTGTTATTTTGAAAACATAAATGATGTATTTGGGCAGAGAGGATCGCCCATATGCCAATTAATAAACTAAATTTGTAAATAATATTGCATGCAATATATATATATAAACATTAAAATTCATTAATTTTAAACAGCAATTTTGAATTCACAGCATAAAATAATAAGATTTTCAATTTTAGTCGCTGCAATCAACGTCAACAGTTGTTACTTTTGCCGACTATTCACTTTGAAAGATGAAAACGAAAACGAAATAAAAGCCTACAATTACGGATTTGACATGCTTTTGCTGAGCACAAGGTGTCAGCGAAATTGCTCAATTAATATTTTGAACGAAGCAAAATACCGTTCACTATAGAGGATTATTTTCAGAAAGAGAAATCAGCAAATCACCTCTGCGGCAGCAAATCGAGAAAACAAAACACTTTGACGACGGATAAAAAGTGTGCAATTAACTCGTGATGCGCTTCTTTTTCCAGCATTGTCTGGATGAGAGAAGAAGAAAGTGTAATGGTCAGAACGGATTCCGTGCGACGTCAGGGCACTCAGGCAATGTGTATAATTCCCGTGAAAAAGCACGTGATTTATTGCTGCTTTCATCCTCAACTCAGGCATGCACCGGTTCCGAATGAGTTGCGACCGATCAGACGCACGACGTGGGTATAAAAAGGGTTAAACTATATAAAAGAACCAATTCGTGACAACGACACTTTCCTCTCAAACTTTGGCCGGCGACTTTTTTTGCAGATATAAAAGTGAAAGAGCAAATTGTCCGACAGGGTCCGACAAGGAAAGGAATTCGGACCCTGGGGCTGCTCAGGCGAATTATTGTTTCCTGCTTTTGCATTCTTGGGCGTGCGTACCCTTAAGGTAGCGCCGTCATACCACACGCGGTGTGCATCTTCTCGGGAGTGAGTGAGAGAGAGATCGGCGCTCGGAAGTGGGCCAGTCGCCACGCTGTGGGAGCATCTCCGCGCGCCGCTATAAAAGCGAGTGCGGCCCTGACCCTCACTTTGATTGTGCTTGTGGATGGTGCGCAGGACACACCACGCTGAGTGTGCTCCTCTTGCATTTTGTGATTACGCCGAGCAGCCCATTTCCAACCCTTTGAGGAAGACAGGCGGATAACAACAGAAAATTATTTCTATTGTCTCCTCTGGGATTCGATACTGCCAATTAAAAATGAAGTTTTCAATCAGGGTGAGTTTAAAATTTTCTTAATTTAAAAATATTTTTACTACGCACTCTATTTTCAATGGTTCAAAAATTAAAAACAAATTAACTTTACGTAATATTATTAAATTAAAAAAAGATGAATGAAAAAACTAAAAATTTAGCAGATTTTTTAAGGGCTTTTTAATTAATTTCATGCTCAGATATTATTTAAAAAAAAATTATACACTTCATTATATTAATCGGTGCAAAAAATAAATCATTTATAAAGTTTTGTTTGACATCATAAGCAATTCATGTTTTCTGACATGTCAGTTTTTTGTCATCTTCGAGTCTCGTGCTGCTATCTCAAAGTTGACAATCCACTTTCGGTGCGTTTAAGGCGCCAAAGTGGAAACAAGTGGCACATAATTTCATCTGTATAAGTGCACGTGAGCACTGAAGCGATCTAATTTGTTTTGAGTATCGTTTTGGAGACGCTGCAATTAGCCTAGTTTTTACTCAAGAGCGCCTCTTACCTTTTATTACCGCGCGGACAAAAGTAAAAAGAAAATAAAAAAGTCACTCTCCTCTCACTCGGATTAACACCTTCCACTCTAGATCGGCCATCTGCGATAATGTCTTTTGTCTTTTAAGCAGATCGCTTTTGTCTTTTTGCGTCGTGAGGAGTGGAAATTGCGGTGACAATAGAATCGGGCGCACACAATCAATTGAGAAAGTAGGATTTTGGTGGTCAGACTTTCAATCGAACAACCGATAATAAGGAAGCGTGTAAACCACAATGTGGCATTACTTTTTTAATATAACGGCTGCTGCAGCTGCTGAACTAAAAAGATGCATCTCGGCGTATCCCGCTTTTCATCGAAAAACATCGTAACTGTATATAACGCGCATGAGACGGCTCTTTAACGTGGTTAAATTAAATTGACTGTGAGAATGCGAAATGCAAACACGCTCGGCCGAGAGCTAAACGCGGAATTATCCTATAATGTGGGACAAATTACATGATGTCCCACAAAAAAAAATGTTCTCAAGTTAACAGAACAAATAAAAACGTAGAGTAAGCAAACAAAAATTGTGTTAATTTGTTTAGTGTGAATGGGGTTTTTTTGTAATTTTTTTAGTGTAGAGTTGTGTTGTGTTTGCGTTGTTTATTATTATTATTGATCTTTATTGACTTATTCCGTTTTAATTTTTCAAAAGAAATTTTAACGTGCATTCAGAAACTGACAATGAGCAAGAAAACCAATGCTCGGAAAAAGAATAAAAAAGGTGAAATTTGGACATTTTAATTCGTTTTCAGAGCATTTGTTTTCTCGCTCATTCTCTGAATCCAAGTTAAAATTTCTTTTGAAAAAAAATATTATCCAAACTTATGTAGAATATTAAAATTGTGAAGAAATGGCCACTTTTCTGTGAAAACTATTAGTTTGTTTAATCGAATGAGTTAAATCTTCAAAACATAAGACTTGATTGAAAGCGATTGAAAGATAACTTTTACTTATACCGAGGAGAAAAAATATGTCTTAAGAAGTAGAATAATTAGAATAAATTGATCTTAAAATTAATCTTTAATTTTCAGGCACTCATTCTACTCATCGTGGCCGTCGCCACAGTCCACTGTTATGGACCACAGCCTCGCCCGTCACGTCCTATGAGACGCGGACCTCCACCTTTGCACAACCGGCACTCCATCGTGTCAAGAAGAGACCCGGCCTACATTCCCGGACCACCCTACTCGAAGCGGCCCATGCGCAACATGATGGTCACTCGGCCCAAGAAACACATCAACCCAAGCCTGATGGGGCACTACTCGAAATTCTCGCCCGTTTACAAGTACCCTCCACCCCCTCAGTCCAGACCGTACTCTGTCGGTCCCCCGAAGAAGAGTTTCTACAACTCGCGGCCCTACGGATCCCCTAGCAAGTACCCTTACTACGCAAAACACCCTGGCTATCCCAGCAAGCCTGTGAGACCGAGCAAGATGCCGTTTGAGGAATACCCTAGAGAGACGGTGGCCACTTTTGTCAATCCCAAGCAGACCTCTTCAAAAGGTACACCCACCCTGAGCTACAAGCCCGGCGTCAAGGTGCCGACCATCACCTACGGCTCTCCGTCCATCGCCAAGCCGTACAACCATTACGGAAGCAGCGAGGAGAGCGGCGAAAGTAGCGAGGAAATCCAGAGCACCCATCACGTCGGCGCCTCCATCAAGTACGGAAAGACCAACCCTGCGTCCCGACCTGCGCACCCGTCCATCCTGGACCCTGAGGTGAACATCAAGTTCCCAGGACCTTCTTTCTCGTCCAACTACAAGACCATCAACGTCCAGCCTGGACAAGAGACGCAACACCACACCGAAACGTCCGGTGTGCATTATCCGTCCATCACTACCGACACCGTTTCCAGCAGCCCCAAGAGGAGGAGGCCGCAGAGACAGGATGCCTCCAAAGCCACGCAGTAAGTGCAGTTTTTCCCTAAAACTACATGAAGAAGCAATACAAGTTTTCACGAGAATCAATTAAGCTAATTTTGAAATGATTATGACACATTTTAAATAATCTGGAATAATTTTTCTTGCAACAAAAGTTGACCATGAGTAAAAAATTAATATTCTCAATCAACCATTTTAATTCTTCGTAAAGTGAACTATCATTAATAGTAATTCAATATATTAATTTTAGAGCTGAGGTATCATGAAAAGGTATCAATAATGATTTAGTAAATTTAGTAAAAAAAATTGAGCTGTGTAAATCATAATGTTCCACCAAAGTCTGCTAATAACATTTATTTAAATTTTATAGACAACATAAAAAAAAATATGTTGCACTCACATAAAATAATTGATTATATTCTTTATGTGTAACAAAAAAATTTGATCCATGGTTACAAAATAGCTAGAATCAAAAAGTTTTGAAACATTTTCCATCCGTTGCTCAGCAGTGGATCGAATTTAAATCATTTTCAACAAATAATCATACTGATCATTAGAGTCTATCACCAAAGATGAAAAGTTTTGGCAAAAGAATAAGTTAAATTGAATATGGAGTGCCAAACTTCAATAAACGTAATTTGAAGCTATAAATAGTTGAGAATTGTTAATTTTTTTATTTTTTATAATTCTATACCGAATCCGCCATCTTTTGTACAGAAAAAAAAATTTCCGCCGTTCAAATAATTACTAAAATCTACAAAAAATTAAAACTTCTTTGTTTTTTACAGAGCTACAAGTTCAAAGCCGTACTCAAATTCCAACGTGAAGTTCCCAGCTGCGAGCTCGCAATCAGAGACTGCCGCCACAAGTTACCAAAACTACGATCACTTCCTTCAGGAAACGTTTGCCCCTGATCTTACAAAGCAAGCCGAAACCTACTCCGCCACTAAGCAGCAGAAGAGAGACAGAAGCAAGTCAAGGTACAGGACTCCAGCCAAGCACTACGAGGTGAAGGATGAGCCTGAAGAGAGGGACGACTCTTACGACGACATCGAGACTGTGGACACCGATTACGAGGGGTGGCAGCCATCAGACTCAAAATAAGCCACAGGAAAATAAAAATAAATGGACCATGTTTTGAAAGTGTGACTCTACGACTGAAATAGTGATGGACTAGATATTGGGATGCGGCAGTCTGAAGAGTTTTTTTGTACTAAATAAGCTATTTCAGGTGTTTGGCAGAGTTTTGATCTTCTCATAATATTGACGAAAGACTTGAACGGTAGGCGAAGCATCCACCGGTACGTTTAAAATAATTGTTGCGCGTTTAATTTATTAGAAAAAAATAAAAATAATGCAGTTTTAAGATTGTGTGTTACTTGCAAAGATGCATTTCCTACCTTTTCATCAATCAGCGCTCTCCATTCGGGCGTTTGAGCATACGCCTGAAACCGTTCGAAGAAAGCTGGTCCGGCTTGCGTATCAGGCAGAGTTGGAAGTCTTGAAGATAAAGCCAGAGTTGGTGAAATCCGAGCCAATAAGGCTTTCATCACAGGTAGAACAAAAGAATAATGTTCTGGTTGAGTGCCTAACATATTTAAATTTGATAAATTTTATTGATGTAAAAATTGGCTTGATAAATTACCTTTGAGACTATTCTGAACAATGGTGTCCAGGTAGCAGAGCAAATAGGCAGCCTCCTCAGGATCAGACATGTGTCTTGTTTGAATCAACGCATGCAACTTAGCTGTGGCCATGGCTACAAGTTCTATGTCTTCAAAACCAGCACAACTCAGTAGGATTCCTTAAATTTTAAAATAAATTTGTTTATCATAAGACCACGAGCATCAAAATATTACCAAACGAAAGCTTGGCCATTTCTGTCCACTCTTCTGCAGGTGCATCTTGGAACACAAGTAAAGCATCAACCAGGCCGAGCACTCCATCTAGCAACTATAAATAAATTCAAATGAAATCTGTTCTTCACTCAATGGGCCAAATTTGTACCACATTTCAGCTGCTACACATATATTGAATCTAAAACTTTAAACGAATACCATAAAAAACTATTAAATGATGGACACAAAAAAAAATTAAAGTGCTAAAACATCATAAAAAAGAGGTGCAGTAGAATTTAGGATGTCAGTGACTTACTGCATTGAATTTCTGAAGAGTATGCAGCAAGAGAAAATGCAAAATTAATACATTGCAGCTTAATGGGCACAAAATGAGTTATTTTCATGTTTACCTTGCAAGAGCATTTCTTCGAGGGGTCGCCGTGCATGTCTAAAACAACCAGATCATACGCCCATCGCAGCAACTGGGCGCCGTTTTCTGCATGACTAGCAAGAGGTCCAGCAACACCTTCGTCCTTCAGGTCAGACACAGAAGCCTGCAATGCCATTTCAAGCAGGCGGCGTTTAAGTTCTAGGTGTGAAGCGTAGAGCTCGTTATTTAGTCCAAGTAGATTAATACAAGCCAAGACTTGGCCTCGTTCCTTAAATCAAATATCAAAAATTAAAGCCAAAATAAAATATCAAGATTAAGTTACCTTCCAAGCCTCCTTCGAAGCACCTTCCACTCCACGCCACATGACAGTAAACAAAATATTCACAACCAAATAACACAACTCTTCTTCTCTGTCTCCGAGCTTTCCAGCATCAAGTGCCTTCCATTGCCTGATATTATAAATTTGCAATTACAAATAATAATAATAATAATAATAATGTAAATAATTACTCAAGTGCTTGATTTAGCAGCTGGTCCTCGGATTGAGCTGGTGATGGTGTCACACCATCTTCCCTGTCTAGGCTTATACCATCAGTGGCTACCGAGTCGGGACGAGGTGAAGTCAAGTCCTCGTTACTGCTGCTGCAGGAAATTGACCTGTTCAGATAATTATAAACGCTGATTGAAATGAAAATTCAATGCAGTTACTTGTTGCTTAAGCTCAATGAGTCCAAGTCTGTGGTTGATAGCAAATTTGAAGCAGGAGTTCTAGGACTTGGTGTGTCCATGTCAAGAGAAGAGAGGCTGCCTCTTAATAAACGTGATCTGGTTGCTCCACCAAACTCTTCTAAGCGATCCTTTATTTAAATCAACAATTAGCAAAAATGGACACACTCAGTTTTCATAAATACTTGAACTTCATAGGTTTTTTGACGGAAGACTGAATAAGCAGATGTAACAACTGACGAAATGTTGTCGGCCGCATAATGAATGTTCCCTGCAACAACATCAGCAACCTCTGAAAAATCAGAATTCAGAATTTGAAATAAAAACAACGGAGCAATTGATCCAAACCTTTGATTTCAGATTCAATTGCGCTTGCAGCATCAGAAACAGTAGACGAAATTCTAGAAACACTCGAAGGAGATGAGGGCCGCTCCATTGCTATGAGCTCAAGGTTCTCCTCGTCGAATGACATTAGATCAGGGAGGTCTTGCAGATCAATGGAAGCGATGGAATCTTGCTGTTTTGGTTGGCCCACAATAGGCTTCTTCACCAAGAGTCGGGATATACACTCTTGCCAGCCAACCTACGATCAAAAAGATCTTAAATAAAATCCAGTAATAATAATAACACATTATACTTGTTTAGCAAACTGTGAGGCAGCATTTGGTCTCATGAACGTAGTGGTGAGGATTTTCCTTGCAGCCTCCAATTTGATTTCAATCGGCGCTGACGATAAGGCGTAGAGTAAGGCAAGGGCCCCTGCATAACTGCTGGAGGTATCTGTGCAACAGCATTGTCACAACTGATTTTATGCACAAACTTGTAAAAATACCTGTCAATAAAATTTGATCCAACAACATTACTGTAAACTCCATAGTATAATCCGATTGGTCAATGGAAGACAGTAGACCTGGGTACAGCCCCACGTGCGACAACGTGGTGCTTGAATTGTCTTGCAATCGTAATCTCATCTTGTGACGTTCGTAAACTCGCTCGGAACGCAGCAGCACATAAAAGAGCTGCACATAGGGTAAATTAAATGAGGGTACATGATCAATATAATAAATATACCTTTAAAACTTTGTGTTTCAACTCATGTGTAAAATGTTTTGCAAGCATGAGGCAATAAAGGGTTTCTGCTGCATGAGGCTCATACATGAGTAGCAAAAGTTGATCCTTGCAAGTGGCACTCTCCAAGTGCGAAATCAACATATCAAGTACTTCTGTCACCTACAGAGATGTGCATTAGTTTATGAAAAATTACCTGAAATCACAAACTGCTCACCAAAGTCTCCTCCTTTGCGGTGGACAGGAAACCAAGGATCGCATTCACTTCTTTCACATTCACGTCTTTCAACAAATAGTATTTTATCAAAGATAAAAGTGCCCCTCTCAGGGTCTTTGCATCTTCAGGGGTAGGTGCCCCTTCCATGAACATGTCAGGCCCATTCTCGTGTGAAGAATTCGTCATTGATGATCCATGATATTGATTAATCGTGTCTAGAACAAATTGCACACCATATCTTCTTCTGTAGAAACGACGGTCTTCCTTCACAACCGTGCAAATGTACTGGATGTGCCCTATTAAAATATAAAAATTTTGTCATAAAACAAAATTAATCCAAAATTGGTGCACTAACCAATTCTAATGTGAAACTGGCTTCGAGCCCAGATATTGAAATTAAATAAAATGTGATGATGCAGAGCTTTCAACAACTGCTGATTAGGTGTGTCTCTTGCCATCTCTATCATCAATTGGACTGCCATCAACACATTTACGTCGAGTAGCTTGGGTCGGACCTAATTTTAAGAAAAATTATCAGAAAATTTCTTCAAAAATTCTTATCCTTGGAAATTTACCTTGGTCAACATGTCTCCAATTATACCTATGCCATTGTTCTTCATGAAATTTTCTTGGTTCGAGGGACTCCTGGTCAGAATATTCTTTAATAAACTAAGGAAGCCACTAACAGGATTCTGCTCTAGTTTCCAATCTGGAATAATTATCATTAAAATTATTTTTCATAATAAATTATTTGTAAATAAGCACCAGAATAAGAGCTTGAGGGTAACACTTCCCAATCATCCAACTCTTCCGGTGTATTGCACGAATCAGCAGCTTTCCTTGCTGCTGCTGGAGTTGATGGCCTTCGTTGCATCAAGGGAGCTGCAAGTTCTCCAGGGTGGCCACTGCTTGACTCGAATCCGGCACTTGCAGTCGCCATTTCCAAAATTGGCAATAAAACGTGGGTGCCCCCAATACCATTGATTGCCGACTAAAAATTAAATTTGAATAAAAAAAATCAATGTCCCATCAATATTAAATTAACAAACCTTGATGCTTTCAGTCTTCCTTAGTGAGGCATTAGTCCTAGCCTCATATTTTCCAGAAGGAGAAAGATCTAAGCACCTTCCCTGGTGGAATGCCGAGGCGCTGTAGCAGAGCACAAGCCTTGAAGTGATGTCCGCCTGCTCCATGCCTTCCTCAACACAGAACAGGGGTCTGCAGGTGGGTCCTGCTTCGTACAGAGTGCGCACTTGCTGGTAACTGAGTGCCTCGTGAAAAAGTGCGGCAAGTGCGATGTGGCCCCCAAGGGGAATTGCAGGTCCAAATATTCTGTCTTCCATTCCAACGGGGTAACTTTTAACATTTGGGTCCTGTGGGTGGGAACTGGAAGATGACCTTAATGGTAGAGTGAAGTAGTTCGGCACTTGGGTCACAATGGAGGGCAAAAAACTTCCAACAGCGCCTAAAACAGCACTTCCTGCTTTCGTTTCAGGTACTTCTTTGGTGCCCTTTGATGATTTTTTCAGAGGGCATCCGATAAAAGAAGATGTGAATTCCTAGATTTAAAAAAAAATGAAATCATAGATTACAAACTACAAAATATTTATTACGTCCAAAGTTGTGGGGAATTTTAAAGCTGCTGTTAACCTTTGGTGACCATCTATGTAAACTGATAACTGATTTTGGCCGAAAGGACGCCTAGTGATAAACAGAGTTACTCGGAAACTTTTTACTTAATTAAATTTATTATACCTCGCAGCCATATGACAGATATCAACGCAGTGCCAAAAACCATCTTGAATTCTGTGGTCTGGGACAGTGGCTACTAAAAATTCTTTTTTGTTAAGGATTGCAATTGCCAACTGTCCGTTTGGGAGGAAAAACATCTCTAATCCATTTCCAGAACTAGTCATCACACTGAAAATTTTACAATAAAAAAGGGAAAAAATCAGAACATTCAACATACTTAAAAAGCTGCCTTCTTGTTCCTTCCTGAAATTCGTATTCATTGTTGATTAGTTGGACCCATGCATGGAAACTGAATCCGTAGCCTGTTCCAGGCCAACGTTTGACTGGAGGCACTACAATGCCGTCTAAAGAAAACAAAATATTCACAATTATTTATTTTTAAAATATGCATTGCTACAGACCTGAGTCAGTTTCAATATCAAAATATGCATGGCACTCGACTGGATCGTCCCTTCTTGCTACAGACGATATGGCATGGAGGAGTTGAACATGATATGGAAACTAACCAAAAATTATTAATATATAATTATTTGATCTTCATCCTTAAACACATACCTTATCTTCTACATCTTCCCTGAGTAACATTAAAAACTGTTTTAATTCTACAGACGAAATGGAGACGGACGCTAAACTCTCCAAAATTCTAATGAGCTCAAATGCAGCCTCTTGGTCAAGTTTAGCATGTTGGGCCACGGAGTTGCCCAATGTTGCTAAAACTTTTCCCTCGCAAGCCAAAGATTTGCTGTATGAATAATGAGGTCAAATATATGGATTTTGTTGTTGTTCAATAAACTGACCTTTGGATTGTTGAAGTACAAATATGATGAACAGCCACAGTGAGCCAAAATTGATCACATCTAGCAATATCTGGGAGCCAATGAACCAAAAACAAGATGGGTTCCACATCCTGAAGCAAAAATTATAAATTTTATGTATCTACAATGTAATAACAGTATTTACATTTAATTGATCTCCTGTCGGAGCAGAGCTCATTGCAAGAAGAGCTTGAAGCAATCCTCTCGAAGGGCGACCTTGGGCATGAAGAGCTGAGAACAGTCGACGATATCCTCCGTCAGCATGCATTTTTTCCTAAAATTTAATTTTGTTTGTAAACCAAAATTAATTATTTTTCTCACAGAATGCATACTTTGCATCTTTTAGATGATCCCAAAATTAATGACAACATTTTCACGCACTCCATCGAGACCTCCTGCTTCTCCATGTCTCCTCTCTAAAAAATAAATTGGTAAAAGTAAAATTTGCATTCACATAAAATGTTCTCATACTCCTTCAACTCTGTAGAGAAGGTCAAAAAGCGAATCAGGTATCCGCACGTCCATCAGAACTTCGGCATTAGACGCACTAGTATTGTCATCGTCCACAGCAAAAATCCTCCTCAAAGACTTGACTAGCCCACAAACCAATGACTTTTCACTAGGATTCGGCAAAAAAACTTGAGAATCGACTGAAAATGATATGACAAAAATAATTATTTAATTAAAAACTTAGAAAACATTCTACATGATTGGCTTGAATCTGGAGAGCTGGGTGATTCTAAAATAATGGGGGTTGATGCAGTCGGGTGAAAATCCTGCACTGGAGTTGACGGATCCGACTTTGGAACAGCCCATTCAAGCTCAGCAACGTCTCTAATTGCCTCTCTATACTGAACCAACATTGTCCCAACCTCGATTTGTCTCTGAAGTTTAAATGTAAGTAAATTTAAAATATAAGGAAGTTAAAAGACAAACCTGATCGGGTGGTGATTTCAGCAGGGTGTGCACCATGGCAATGAAGCAGTTAACCGCAGTAAATTTAGTCTCGTCTCTGAGCCCAGGCTTGACTATTGAATCTATCACAACGTTCACAGTTGCTGGGCATATCGCTCTTAAGCCATTATGCTGGAAATCCAATTATATGCATAAATTAAGGTTTTGGGAACAAATCAGTATGTTATTTTGTTTTTGCAAATTCTGTCTTCAAAATAAAGTAAACAATTAATTTTAGAGGATGGAAAAGGTGAAAAAAATCAGAGGATTTTGATGTGTAATATAATCAAAAAGGAAGCAATCTAAATATAGTAGCAACAAAGATAGTGGTTACAGGATTAACAGAATTAAAGTACTTAATTTAATTTAATGTTTTAAAGAAGACAAATAATAAAATATGATTTAATAAGAAAAAAATTAGTTATTAGGCACGAAAACTCACCCCGTAGTCCTTTGAACCCACAGAAAGCATTTGCATGTTATCATCTTCTCTCCTATCTGCCGTTGCATCAAGCCACCTCACCACATTCTGTAAACCACATTCATACACCTCCAACTACTATTGCCACACCAAGATTTGAAAATTATAATAATAATTTGTTTAAAATTGCTATTTATAGATGATGGGATTTGATATGTCATTATTTGAGATGCAAATTAATATAAAAATAAAAATAAAGAGGCAGGCGTCATTTAAAAAAAAAAAAATTTGTGTACACTTTTAAAATAAAAATATTAGTAAATATTCCTTGTTGGGACAATCTGTTTAGATACCCATTCCATGTTAAAAGAGATATTACTTAAAAGAGACACAAACGCGTCGGTTAATTGGATTAGGCAGAGGAAGAAGCCTGTGGCATGCACACATGCAAGTCCCAAAGTGTATTATTTACATGACACTCGACTTATGAGAGTAATGTCGGGTGGTCACACGTTTTTACAAGACGTCTGCAATCTATGCAACAGACATAACACTCACTTGAGCGCCTGACGCAATTGCTCCCAATACGTGGAGAAGTTCCGAACACAAGTGCGGCGCAATCTGATCGATTTTCACTTCAAAGCAGTCTGAAATTTCAACAAGTTAAAATTTTAATTCGTCAAAATCATTTGCAAAAAAACCGTATAAAAATGGCACAACTTCAACATGCAGCAACGCAGGCTGGAATGGCAATTTTTCTTTTGGCCACGGCCGCTCGGAAAGGAAATTTCTCCAGGTGAAGTACGGATCGTACAAGCATTCAAGAAGGTGACATAATTGGACCACAAAATTTGGGGCAACCGTTGGATACTGATCCTCGATTATGTTTCCTTCCGAGAGCTGTAAATTTTTTCATTTCAAATAAATAAAAATGACATAATTTTTTTTCTTAAATATTTACCTGATGAATGGCAGCAGCGGCAAAACCGACAAGTAGCCCGATAAAATCACAGGATGCGATAAACGGAATGTTATCAAAGTTTCGACACAAAACGATCAAACAGCGAATCAACTCCTCGGTTTCCAAAATGCTGGAGCATGTGATCAATTTCTGGAAATGTTGAGGAAATATAAATTCAGGCTAATTATTGACAATCTCCTTCCTCAATCCTATTTAATTTTTACGTTTCAAGAACTCATGAATTTGGTTATTCAAACAAAATTATATTTTTAGTGATTTTTAGGTAAAATTTTTCTTGGAAACATGATTTTTGCTTACTTTACTACTATGCAGAGGGCTGATAAGGAATTTGCCGATTGCCGGCAGCAAGTCCTCCGAGAGCTTTGACAGGTGCGGCCCTTCATCACTCTTGGCCTCTCCGACAGTCGGAAAATGAACCCACTCAAGGCCAAGCTGGTCCTCCCAGGTGCTCACGAAAGCCGACACGAAGTCGCGGAAACTTTTCTCGTCGTTCTGAAATAAACATATAATGAGAAAACCACGATTTGAATTGAAATAATTGAATACATAATTATGAACTTGACCTGAGACGGTCTTAATTTGAATGTCAATAAAATATTGATCAGGGTAAACAAAAGAATGGGATTATAGATTTTCAACCTTAAAAGGTCCTCAAATTTAACAAGAATATTGTCTAAATAGGGGAATTGTGGGGAGAAAACAAAATTATTTGGGCAGTAATTTTGGGCGCGAAGGTGGGCCACGCAAATTTGCGAATTCGCACCTTGGACGAATAGTGCAGCCAGAGCTGGTACAAATCCTGCTTCGCCTCCATTGTCAGGCAACTTCCCGCGGAAAAGACGATCGTATATTTCCCGGCGTTGTCAACTAATTTTCGTCATTTCGCACACACTCTTCCCGAGCAGAATGACATCTTATCAGTTTGACAAGATTGAATGAAAAGAAGAAGACACCCCCTTTAGTTTACCTTTTTAATTCGCCGATTCGCCGTCAGGTGACACTTGGGTACAGCGCCAGCTCCTGGCCTCATATTTTGACGTCGAAGAGCGCGAAACTGAATGATTTTTGCGATCCCAGTCGAGTGAAAACTGCAAAATTTTTATTCATTATCGGAATAATAATGCAAAATATTTTTTGAGGGAAATTTCAACTAACAGTTTTATTTTTGAATAATTATTTAAGCACTACTCTGTTTATTTTACATGGAAAAAGTAGTTCAAATAAGAGTAAAAATGTATTAGGTATTATAGATTGTTTTGAGTGTGCGTGTATTTTTCTGTTCTAATTATTGTAGAGGTTGTTTGTGTTTGTAAAGTGTAAAGAAGTTTCAGGGTTTAATTTTTAAGAGTTCTTTGCGTGGTTTTACTGGTTGTACTGAAACTTTGCGAGAAAAACTTGGCTTTAAAATGGAATACTATAAAAAAAATATTTTTACTTTTAGTTAGTAAATTAATATTTAAGTACCTTTTTGTGTCACAAAAAAATAAACATTAAAACCCCAAAAATTAGGGCAAATAGAGCAACATAACTGGTCTGGATCGTGATTTCGCCCAATTCCAGGGCACATCAAACCTCTTAAAAATTAAAAATATAAAAATATAATATAATTTAAAATTCTTTCAAATAAGATGGTGTTTTAGGCACTTGGCATCTATTTTCATTATTATATGCGTAAAATCTGAAATTTGTTTGATTATATTTTTAAAAGAATTTAAAATCTCACTTTGAAATGATGAAGTAAAATTTCATAAATTCTATTTCGTTCCATTATTATTATTATTAATATTATTTATTTTGTTTGGAACTTACAGTGAAGTAAAAAGTTTTCAATTTTTCATTTTATTTTATTATTTATTTTTGTGAGAGCGCGTATTATGTATGAGAAAATGAGATAAATAGACAATTAATCTCTGTTATTTGTTTTGACTGTTGGAGTAAAATGTAAAGACACGTAAAGTAAAAAAAATTAATCAGCTTTTCAGCTTTTTATTATAAAAAGTAAAAGTTTTTATCTAAGCTGGTTTGCAAATGTATTGTTAAGTTTGTTTATTCTCAATTTATTACAGGCATAACTACACTCAAAATTAAATTATATAAGAAAATGCTTGTGAAAATTTAATTATTAGTATTATCTAGGTTTTTGTAACTAAATATCTGGTTTATTATTTGAAAACGTGAACGTGGTGATTGTAAAGCTAATTGTTAAAAGCTGAGAAGTTTATACTGGTACACAAAAATGTATTTAAACATAGTCAAAACTGTCAATATAAACTTCTGCGCTATAAATTTTGTATATTTTCAAAAAAAAAATTAAACTCTATATTATTTGATTTATTCCCCAAATCAATGATGTTCTCTAACTGCTAAATATTTTATTTCAGTTGTTTGAAAAAATTTTCGCACTCGAGGAATAACTCGGGCTTTTTAACAACAAGGAAAAACCCAAGTTATTCACTTATCCGAGTTATTTTATTATTATCATTATTGGTGCAAAATAAACAAAAAGCGGATGTTTGCAGAAAAATATACCAAAGCTTTCCGGGAATGACATCTGGCCATAATTCTCAAGGGAAAACTTTGATTTATTTTAAAGGCGGCATCACAATACAGATCGAGTTGGACGCACAAACGACGGGCAGCATTTTTCTATTCACGCATGAGAACTTTGGTAAAAACTTTGAATGTCCCTTGCGCGTCCAGTATAGCGGTGCAGCTTGTTGTCTTTTGAGAGGCACTCGTGGAACCAATCGGCCGGCATATGCTCGTCCGTCTTTTGATCACAAACAGCAGAAAAACAAATTCCAGATGACACTAAAGTGGCCGCGAGTGTACGTATTTTGATAATTTTGCTGGCCCAGATGCAGGATCAATTTTGGCTGCACTCGGAAAGTAATTCGTCCGCGGCTAATAACAGGAGAGATGCCGTGGACGAGATTAGCGACACAAAAGACCGCGATCTGATAATAGGGACAAAAGTAAAAATTTTCTCTAGAGATTATTCGGGCCCGATTTTGTGGAATCGCGCTGAGGGTCCCTTGTCGTCAAAACGACAGCCCCAGCAAAACAAGATTAACCGACGTGAATGTCGCGGGGAATAAATTTTATTGTGCCAAGACTGAATAAAATTTTGTAAAAAAAAGTGCACGCAGAGCATAGCTTTTTATATGTATTATTGTTATTATATTGTGTGTTGCCAGAGGTAGTGGGAGTTTGTTGGTGCTGCTTGAGCTTGCCAGCGACGAGTGTGTGTAAAATTCATTTATCCACACTCGCGCTCGCAGCCATGCAGGATGGAGGTATTTTAGGGGGCGGGATGCCCAAGTAGGAGCGGTTAACACTTTGCATCGTTCATTTCTGACGTCGTCGCCGAACTAGCGCAAGATTTTTTTTATAACTGCTAAAACAATTATTATCATTTGGGGGAGAATCTGCTATTAACTATTAACCTGGAGACTGAAACAACTGTAATTTAAAAGTAAAGAGATTGGGATATTCCTTTTGTTGTAAAATTTGTTTTTATTCAAAAACAAAAAGGCACTTTGTTTTATTTTTGATCAAAAACCAATTTTACCACGAGGATCTCTTTACTTCCATGATCATCTTCTCAGGTGTCAATTTCTTCAAACAAATATAATTTTACAATTTGTAAAATTAATCAAATGCAAAAAATAAAATATGTATAACTATAACTTATTACTTTATTACAATATCTTAAGCTTTTGTAATTGTTTTCTTAAAATTAATTTTTTCATTATTTATTTTCTTTTTAATAAATTTATATAATTACTCTTCATTTTTTCATCCATTATATTGATTATAAAATTAATATTTATTTTTGTTTTTTTAAGTTTATTAAATAATTTATTCTCTGCTAATATTCATATTGTGGTAATTTTTATGTTATCTTTAACATACTAGGTCATCGTCATTATTATACTTGTCAATAAATTGAATTCTGAAGTATTTAAAATTGAGATATAAATTGAATTAAAACCTAAATGAATGCAATAATTTCATTACATTGAATCACATTGAATTTATAGAATGAGTGCTCAAAGCTTTAAATCACAATCTACTCAGAGTTACGATTAAAAAGGATTAAAATTTAAAATGCTAAAGCAATTAAAAATTGAATTGAGGATAAAAGCGCTGAAACAGTTTTTTATACAAATTAAATTATTTGCATAAGTATTTCCCTCATCAGATCGCATCAGATTAAATTAAATCCAACATAATCATTTATTATTATTGTTGTTTATTTGTCCATAATTGTTATACATCATGTTATATGCTGTATAACATTTATATGCATTTAATCACATTTTGTAAGATAAAAATCAATTAACACGTATAAGTTTTTAAGTATTAGCAATAATTGTTGTTGTTGCTGAAAGTTTTAAATAAATTTTATTAAAAATTTAGGCTTTTGAGTGTGATGCGATATTATTAACAGCACCTTGCTTGCAGCGTGCATCGTTGCAACTGCATCGCGACCATATTATATTATATATTTATCAAAAAAGGCAGCACAGATGTTCCGACGAAAAATGCATTCAACAAACCAATCCAACATCAGCACACACAAACGCGTAGGCCAATTCATTTCATTTGTCGGCCGCGTTTTTAATTTCCCTTATCGCATTAGAGCATCTCAGAATAAGCAGCCAACAAACAACCCTTCTCATGCAGCTCGCTTTTCCATTATCATCAAGTTATTTGTCGAGAATGGAGAATGCACCGGGTATATCCTTTCACGGACAGGACAGGGTGCGTGAGTTTGCTCGCTCATCGCACCTTTCCTTTTTTTGTCCATCTTCTATATAATGAACAGCGAGCGACTCAATCGAAAACCGTCAAAACTCTTTCTACAAATGTTTGCGGTCGAAAAATGAATGGATTGAATGGCGAGCAGTCGAAATTTATTTGCAGCAGAACTGCAGCTTTGGGGTTTGGTTTGGTTCAATCAAAGTTGCGCGCCTAATGCAAAATAATATCGTAAAAATTGGAATTGGAAAAAAATACAGAATTTAGATTACTTTTTAGTTAAAAATTTAGTTTTTAGTTGATTGACAATTGTCAATTATCTATGCCAAAATACTCATTATCAAAGCTACACGGGTTTTTTACAGGAATATTTTCTTACAAAAATTTCATTTTTTTTTAATGGAGTGTCTCAGTTTTTAATTATATATTATGTGATATGTACCTTTTATTTTTCCAAAACTTTAAAAATCCTTTTATATTCACAACGCGCAGTTAAATTTTATGTGAATAAACTTTAGAAACATTTTTTTTTTTTTAAATGTTGCCAATTATTATCAATTTCACAAATATAATTAACGGTAATTAAGAAGTTTTTTCCAAAATAATACGGTATATTTAAAACAAAAAAAAAAAACTGCTCTCAACTTGCTTTATTTCAATTTTCAATCACATTAAGACTTATTAATAAAAAGACTTCTTATATTAAAGATTACATCACATTTTAATGATAAACAAAAGACGATTTCGTAATGTTGAGAGACAATTTCTGACAATAAGTTAATTTGGGTTATTTTATTAGTCAAAAGTTTAAGTAACAAAAAAGTATATAAATGATCATATAAAATATTGAAACAAAGCAATTATTTTAAAGAGAATGAATTGAGTAAATTTATAAAATTTAATTTTATAAAATATAAATTAATAAGATAATTTATTTTTAATACACACATAAAATTTATAAAATTGTAATATTCTTGGTTAATATTAGTTTATGTGTAACAAAAAAATAAATATTACTTTTATAAACCAAGTTGAAGTATCGTCAATTTATCATTCGTAGCGACGGCCGCGATGCTGAACCGGCAGCGAGCACACCGCGATTGCGAGCCGCGGCGGAGGAAGAGGGGGCGCCCTTCGTATAAAACTAGTTGCTTGGGCCGGCGGAGGTTCAGTCGCCGACTTCGCCCCGTCGAGCAAACGTGTGTCGCGTGCGTTCCTCGCCCAAAAGCACATTGCTTCGTAATGGACTAACGAGAATCGGACAGTTCTTCGGACACGATGGCCGCGGCAGCTTGTGTACTAGTGCTGTGCCTGCTGGCCACTTTCGGACGCGCCTTCGAGAACAACAATGTCGAGTTCACGTCCAGCAGTGCCCTCGGGTGTGGAGTGCATAATGTGATTTCCACGTCGAGTGTCTACGAAGCGTCCAATGTGACCGAGTTGCGGTGCAACGTTCGGACACTGCACGACCAGCTGCCCATCATCAACCCTATCATGGTGAGAATTACTAAACTTTCCAAAGACAGAACTTTTGATTTAATTTGGCGCGCGGCTCAAAAATGAATTACGAACTTTATCACGAAGTTAATAATATTCCTGTCTGTCAAGCTCGGCTGAGTAATCTCGAGAGTTGTTGAACTTAAAAGTTAAACACACTCAACTTTTTGCCCAAGTTTCGCGAGCTTGCGGTGAAGCGCCGCGCGCGCCTCCGATAAAAAAAAGTATAATGCTCGGGTTGAGAAATTTCTCATCTCTTTCCTCGTCCCCTGAGCGCCTTTAGCCTGACAAACGGCCCCGCGACAGAAAAACCACCGAGTAATTTACTGGTTTGCTAATCGCAATTGTTGTTTCGAAATTTCTCCCCAGCGAGTACAAAGTAGGCAAATTACGGCGCGCGGCGCCGGATTTGCGCCGCACGGCAAACTTTCCGATTTTATCATGAAATATTTATTTTTTCGTGCGCGACAAACAAATCCGCAGAAATAGTCCTGCATTCCGGAACCCTTGCTTGCTGACAAACAGGCAACAGACCAAGTATTTTTCTGTGTACCTGGCAGAAAAGCTCTTGTCAGGATGAGAACCTTTTCACGACCAGACTATTTTTTTCTCTCCTCTACCTGCGTCTCAACCCCCCTGTTCCGTTTACTCCGAAGGTTGTATAGACCTGGCTAGACCAGATCATGTAATTGCCCCCGAAAAGTCCTCTTTTTGCCGACGAGATTCCTCCCTGGGCCGCGCCGGTTACACGTTTATTTGCGCAAAAAACTCGGGATGATCAACTCGATTTCGCCATTAGAGCGGACATGTCGATAGAATTTGGGGGCAAAAAGCGGCCCGTGTCGTGTTCCCGTGGGAGGAAAATGCCAATAAGTCGTGTCGTGAATTTTTTCCCCGCATTTCCGAACGGTCGAATTGAGCAACGCGCCCTTGGCCATCGGAAGGAATTACAAGTTTGCCTAATGCAGCACTTTTGTCAAATTGTGCGCGCCAAGCAAAATGCCGCGAGGGTTATTGCATTTCAATTGGAATTGTCACCTCTGCGGTGAACAGTAATTGCACTCAAACGACGGCTGATGATGGGAAAAGTACACAAAGTCAGAACGACCGTGTGAATGGAATTGCTCATCGATTGCCCGAGGCGCTGAGTTACAAGTTCCTACTGCACCCTTTTCGAGTATTCTGCAGAAAATTTGATATTATGCATCACGTTCTTCACATATTCGTCACTTTTAAGTGCTGTCCGTCGAAAGCCTGGATCGATTAATGTGAAGGAATAAAATCGCTAATGGAAGGGACCTACCGGTTGGCTGCATTAGTCACATTTCAAAGAACTATCAAAAATAATTTATTTTATTATTTATATTTTGATTAATTATATTTCCTGTATTTTAATTTAAAAATTATATATTTTTATTATAAATTAAAGAAAAAATATCTTGCTTATATGTCCAAATTTTTTCATCACATTATTTACGTTGAATTGTTAAAAAAAAAATTATTTGTAAAAGGAATTGTTTGACAAAACGGCACCACCACTAGCAAGAATTCTGCCTAAAATTTCCAAAATCATAAAGATGCCGCATTGGCTGCAGTTTAATTTTAATTCTTTGAAAATGATTTAATTTTTAATTTAGAACAAACTAAAAAAATAATTTTATCAGATTAATAGTGAAAAATGCATAATTATTTGATTTTGTTTGCGATTAATAATTTGTTCTCGGAAATTTGAGCAAAATTATTGTTAGTGGTGGTGCCGTTTTGTCCCCTTTCTTTTCAATCAAGTTGTTTTCATCAACAATTGAATGTAAGAAATTTGGAAAAATTATCATCATGAATGATAATTAATAAAAATAAATTACTCATTTCAAGTTTTACTTGATATTTTATGAATATATTTTCAAAAATACAAGTTGGATGACCTGATTGGATCAATTTTATAACATCTAAAAGCATAATAAATCGGTCCATGCGCCATCAGTGATACTTTTTATGCCTCATCTGTGTCCCCAATTTGAACATGATGAAATTTTGGTTTTTGAGTAAAAATACTATACCTCTGAACCGTTACATTCATGCAACTCTGTGCATACTCGAGGCAAAAACTGCAGCGGCCCCAACTCGTCCTCAAGTGTTTGGAATTTACAACAAAACGCGGCCATTCTTCATTGTGCAGCTTTTTACTCCGGAATAGCGCCGCTCCATAATTCGCACGACATAATAGCGACGTATTGTGCGCGACAGAACAAACAAGGTGCAAATGTGTGAAATATATAAAGAGGCAAAAAATATGTCAGAGAAACCAGGTTCATCCTTCACAAATGTGGAACGTCGTGAAAATGACCAAAACGAGGCTCAAATTTTATGGAATGGGGCAAAAACCGCACGTGTGAGAAATCGGAATCGGCGGGCAAATTTGCGCGAGGATTTATTTATTTTATGCCGGCAGCACGAGATGATCGCAGGCGCGGTAATAAAAGGGAATTGTATTTACCGTGCAGCGCTCGGCGGCGCAGCTTTTCAACCAGGGTTGAGAGCGCGGAGGGCCCAGCAACAATGCGTGAAGAAATAAAAAGGTGGAGTTGCCTGCCGCTGAAATTACTAATAAAAGCTTTTCCAGTAAAAAACAATGCGAATATAAAATGGGTCTTTTTACTACCGAGCGCGGCTGCTGCCGGATTTCGGAATGTTCCTCGGCTCGGAACACACAACAATACATAATGAGCGATATAATTTAGTGGGCCTGTCAAATGTATCACTAGGAAAAAATTATGTCTCAGCACCTCGCATACCACCTCTGAGAAAACGCGCGGCGTTTGAACCGGCCGAACTGCGCTGCTCATTTCGCGAATTCCTCGGCCTTTGTCTTTATGGTCATTCATTAAAGCCCACCGCGCAGCAGCGAATACTTTTCTTCTTCTTGATTTCGCTCGGCTTCTCCTTTTTTACTGCCGCAGCGTTCCTTGTACTGCCGAAATTCCTGCGCCAAATCTTTTTTTTTTTCAAATCGACGCCGCGCACCATCTGCACACAGCTCATTATTTTTGAAAATGCTCGAAATTCTTTCAGGCGGACTTGTTAAACTTTGCCAACTGTTAAAACGCGCTTACAGTTTGTCCCGGAATTTTAATCCCGCACTTTATTGTCTTGTGATCTATTCAGCTGATCTTGATGAAGCTGAGAGAGAATGAGAGAGTTTAGGGAATCACGAGACAGGTTTTCTCATCTATCCGCCAACAAAATGGTTCCGCGAAATACACTCGTTGCATATTGAATACATTATTTTAAGATAAGAAATTCAAAGGCAACTAAAAATTAAAGTTTTTTGGCGATACAATCTTCATTCTGCGCTCTTTAAAAAGAAAAAAAGCTGATAATATTATATAAGCTTCAATGCTCTAAAATTGCAGCAAATAAATTAGAATATATAAAGGAGAAAATCATGAGATAATTACAAATTTCATTTTATCCAATAATATCTAAAAAAAAGAAATGAACAATTAAATTATTAATAAATTTGTTCATTTTTAATCTTGAAGCAAAATGACTTATAATCGATATAAACCATATAAAACTGATCCGATTTCATTTATAAATATTAAATTATTTCTTCACTTGTTTCAGCTGAACCCAGTGAGCAGCGTGCGCGTGACATGCAGCGACATTGTCCTCTTCGAGAGCTCCATCGACAGCGGCCTGCTGCCCAGCATTCTCCGCACCCTTCTGCGTCGCAACGCCAACCCCCGCAGGTTGGTGCTCGACCAGTGCCAACTGCGGCGTCTTCCCACGGGCATCTTGTCCTCGTTGCCCGGATCTTCGCGCATCCAGTCCCTCTCAATCCGCTCCTCGTCGGCCCCGGCCGGCTGGAGTTTGGCCATCGAGCAAGGCGCCTTCTCCGGCCTGCCGTCCCTCCTCGAGCTCGACCTGTCCGCCTCCAACGTTTGGAGCATCCCAAGGGACACCCTGTGCCCGCTGACCGGACTCAAGCACCTCAACCTCAGCTCAAACAAGCTGCAGGACGTGAGCATGATCGCCAAAGGGCCCGAAAGGGTGCCGTGCCAAAATTGCCACGACTCGACGGACTCTTCCCTAGAAGGTAATTTATAAAAAAAAATTGTTTCAAAGTTTATTAAATAATTTATCTTTAGACTTCTTCTACCCAAATAGGCCATATCATTTAAAACTGATCGGTTAAAATAAATTTTATTTAAGGATTCAAAAATTTTACATGATTTTGCAAAGTTTTGTAGTAGAATTTCATCGAGGGTTTTTCATGGTGATTTGAATTTTAAGTTGGCTTTTCCTCGATGGGTTTCGTGGGTCGTTTGTTGTTTAAGAAAAAACAATATCCTGCTCTATATGTGTCGGCTGCAGCCATAATTCATGAGCTGTGAAATCATTTTGATAAGAATATGTACAAAAATCATGCTTTTAAACAAATATTTTTCTTTCAAGTCTGATTCTTTCTGTTTTCACATACCCCGCCCAAAGTTGAAGATATCGATATGAGATTTTCACCACTTCACCATCTTAGTTTGAAAGCGACTTTCCTAAATTTTTGACTAAAAATTTTCAAAATTGCGGGTTTTACGGGACATTTTGGAAAAACAAAAAAACGTGATTATCTCAGCTTCTAGTGGTCGTAGAACAATTTTCCGGGTACGGCTGAACTCGTCTTAGCAAGTTCTACAACTTTGCTGTTGAATGTAAAATTTTAGGTCAAAGGTCAAGGTCATTTTTGGTGACCTGAAATTTTCAAACTCAAATTTGAAAATGTGCTGCATGATGAAAATCATTTTTGAGATTGCCATTCGATTCATCATGAAATTTTACGTATTATATGTCAAAATTGCGATGTTGATATTTTTAGTTTAATTTAAATAAAAATAAGAATATTAAAAAACGTGGTTTTTCGCACCTCGGCAGGCAGTGTCAACAATATAATCGTCTGTAACTTTTGTTCTGATGATTTTAGGTACAAAGTGGTTATTACCAAAGTTAATCTCCACGTCAAGACCAATCGATTGGTGTATATGTCAATGACCTTCAGTGACCTTGGAGTCAAAGGTCACCCAGGTCGGTGACCTGGGGTCACACGACCTAAATGTGTGATACGTACTTAGAAAGGTCTTGTCAAGAGGATAATTTTGGTCACTAAGTTTTTTACTTTACGTCTACCACAAAGCGAGTAATCTCTAATTTCCAATAAATTTTACGCAAACTTCTGCGTTTAATTAGGAAAAATTATAATTATTCGATTTGTAGTAGACGTAAAGTAAAAAACTTAGTGACCTAAATTATCCTCTTGACAAGACCTTTCTAAGTACGTATCACACATTTAGGTCGTGTGACCCCAGGTCACCGACCTGGGTGACCTTTGACCCCAAGGTCACTGAAGGTCATTGACATATACACCAATCGATTGGTCTTGACGTGGAGATTAACTTTGGTAATAACCACTTTGTACCTAAAATCATCAGAACAAAAGTTACAGACGATTATATTGTTGACACTGCCTGCCGAGGTGCGAAAAACCACGTTTTTTAATATTCTTATTTTTATTTAAATTAAACTAAAAATATCAACATCGCAATTTTGACATATAATACGTAAAATTTCATGATGAATCGAATGGCAATCTCAAAAATGATTTTCATCATGCAGCACATTTTCAAATTTGAGTTTGAAAATTTCAGGTCACCAAAAATGACCTTGACCTTTGACCTAAAATTTTACATTCAACAGCAAAGTTGTAGAACTTGCTAAGACGAGTTCAGCCGTACCCGGAAAATTGTTCTACGACCACTAGAAGCTGAGATAATCACGTTTTTTTGTTTTTCCAAAATGTCCCGTAAAACCCGCAATTTTGAAAATTTTTAGTCAAAAATTTAGGAAAGTCGCTTTCAAACTAAGATGGTGAAGTGGTGAAAATCTCATATCGATATCTTCAACTTTGGGCGGGGTATGTGAAAACAGAAAGAATCAGACTCAAAAAAACATTTTTTCGTGAACTATTATTTCAAGTTAGACACAAAATATTTTTCAACACAAAATTTGACTAATTTGCTAAAAACAGTTTTTGAATTCAATGTCAAATTTGGTGTTAATTTTTTTTTAACAAAATTTAACTATGAATAAATTTTTCACGGAAAATTGTTACTTTGAAAGAGAAATATTTAAAAGAAAGCAATGATTTTTGCCCTAATTATCGTCAAAATGTTTTCCCAGCTCAAGAATTATGGCTGCAGCTAAAACATGTAGAGCAGGATATTGTTTTTTCTTAAACAAGAAACAACTCACAATCAAAACAACAAAACCCGCCAAGGAAAAGCCGACTGTAAATTCAAATCACGATTAACAATATCAAATAAAATCAATTTAATTAAAAGAATTTATTACAAATTTTCATGAATTTGTATAGGTTGAAATAACAAAAATCCTTCCTGGAGCTATTTCTTTTTGTATATATTGGGTGTATTGGTTTTTTTTTTTTTATATTGATTTACATTTTATAATTAAAAGCAAACAAGCGTATGTGTTTAAAAAAACATTCCATATTAGCACTTGATGTGATAATTCACTTGTTTGGACGAAAAAAATTACATTATAATATTAATTGAAATTCAAATAAGTTTTACGTTTGATGTAGAGAGACAATCACATTTATTTTTGGTACCAATCGGTGATATCCTGCCTGAGGTATAGAAAAACGATTGTAATTTAATTTCGACCGCCGCCGCCGAATGAAAATGATGCAAAGAAAACAAAAAACGCAGCTGATGGCGAGAGCTCTGCGGTTTAGCACTCGCGACACAAAAATGATCCGAAAAACGCTTGGCGTGCGTTTTTGCCGCAGCCACACTCTACTTCCGTTTGTTTTGAAAAAGTGGAAATAAAAATGACGATTGTGTGCGCAAAGCGAGCCTGTCGCACACTCGCAGCAATTAACCCACTCATCGAGAAGGAAAACCTTCGCCGCCATGCTGCTTTTTTTGTTTTCCGGCCCGTGTGTGGCAGGGGCTGCGTTTGACCAGCTAATTTCTCGGCGCCCGCCTCCTTTTATTGCACCACATTATACAAATAAAATTTCATGGCTTTATTGACACGCCGCGAATATAAAAGGGGTGGGAAGTTTGCTGCTGCGGCAAAGGGTGGATTATCTCGCTGTTTCACGAGGAAAGTTTGCCTTGGCGAAATTTTGGCAGATTCTTCTTTGAGCGAGAAAATTCGAAACAAATACGGGTGCAAAAAAGCTGCAGAGTTTCCTATGTTTATATGCAGAGAGGATCAAACCCCTCAATGCAGCACCCAATCCACTTAAACACACCCTCGTGAAAAGCAGTCAGGTTAGAATTTTTATATCCGGCCAACTTTTGATACACTGCTGATGTTTCTTTTTTCTCATAAGCAGACCTTGGCAGTTCATTTCAGAATAACACTTCTCGGCCCCCTTGTTATTTGAATAACTTTTTACTGTATAGTCGGTCGCACATGTTTCGGGTCATAAAACGGGTTGAAGGCTAAACTGGAAGGGTGATTGCTCTGTGCACTCTTTATGTTGTCTTTTAAGAATTTATGCACGCGGCCCTCTCTATTTACCCAACGGGTCTATTTTCCCAACAACGCCGTTCTGCTGGAATTCGCCAAACAAAATAGAACATTCACCCAAGACCGATATTCTTTTTGTTTATTTTCACAGCCGCGCTGTGCCGAGCCCAAAAGGGGTGCAATAAACGGAGACAATGCGCGACCGCTCGTGAAAGGCAACCCATCATTCCCGGGCGGAAAGAATTAGGCTTCGCACCCCCTTTCGCAGGATAATTATTCACACTGGCCGGACACAATGGCCGACCGGGGTGCATGACTCTGAAAAATAACCTGGCCTTGCCAATTGACACCTGTGACGAATTTCGGTATACGCGGCTTTTTGTGCAGGGCGAATTTTCCTGCAGCTTGGCTTTTTTCCCTTGACCGTTTTGTTCCGGCTCGCGCATTTTCATATGCTCGGCCTGCGTGATAATTCTTTCCCCGAATCGGCGCTGCACGAGAATTGAAAGGGTGCCTCTCGCGTCGTAAAATAAATTTCCGCGCTCGCTCTTGAAAATTGAATAATGGCTTCATTACTCTCCTTCCTCTCCAGCCTTTTGCTGACAACAATAAAATTTATAATTTCGCGCTCCCGCAAACAGTCTCTCACGAGCAGGACAAACGGACTTGGGTTTTTACAACCCATAAAAAGTGGCTCTGCACTCGGGACAAATTGGAAATTCCGGAATTTATCGGCCTGGCTCAATAATGCACCGCGTCCTCTGCATTTTTAAAAAATTTAATCAGCTCAAGAGTTTAAGTCCCTTCCTTATTCCTGATGGCTGCATATTCACTCACTATCGCATATAGTCGGGATAATCCTTCGGCGCCGCGGTGATTGATGTGATTTTGATCGCCTCGAAAGCAGCTCTCACTTGCTTGAGTGACGGCCAAACACGAATTTCTCATTACCGAAATTATTATTCGGAGTCCCCAGAGAGAGAGAGAAGATGCGACTCAAACAAAAAAGTCGCTGCCGACCGGATTAGAAAGCAGAGCGCAATTAGAAAAATCCTCTTTGCCGCGGGTAAACCTAATACAATCAGCAGTGTCACGACCGAAATGAATAACGCATGACTATGTTTATAATAATAAAAACGCGAGGGGTTGAATCCGAATTCCCGCGCGACCATAAACACCTTCCTCCTGAGTCATTTATCATTTTCCAGCGCCACAATGATTTTATTTTTTTATTTTTAATTCCTGATGCACGCACCCCACGTGGCTTATATATACTTAAATGTGTCTAGTAGGTACACGTATATTTCATATCGGCCGTCGATGTTCACAGATTTCAACAACTCCCCGCGGTGCCTGCGCTCCGTCGAGACTCTGGACCTCTCGCATAACGAGCTGACCCATCTGCCCGACCATTTTCTCGCCTCGTTGAGGTTCCTGCGTGAGCTGCGTCTCGCGTGGAACGGCATCGCGACCGTCGGCGAGCGATCCCTCGCCGGACTCATCTCTCTCCAGAAACTTGACCTTTCCGGCAACAAACTGTCCGTCCTGCCGCCTGACTGGCTCAACGACTCGCCACTGCTCTCCGAGCTTCGGCTCACCGACAATTCGTTGGCCGTTTTGGGACCTGGACTGTTCTCAGGTAAGAATGTTTAAAATTTAAAATTCATATTTCTTTAATTTGATTTTTTCATAAACTAAATCCTTGAATATTTTCATTTTAAATTTCTGCTAAGGGCTGATTATTTATTTTACTTTATATAATTATGTTGAAATTATTACCCGCGCAGTCTTAATTCCTAGTCGAATTTTTTTTCTATTTCATTTTTGTTACAACATTTATACAGCTTCCTCAATAAAAATGGAAAAAAAACTAAAAGCTTAACGAAAGATTTCTGCTTGAGCGATTCTGATTTGCTGCAAACAAGCCGAAAATTTATTGCAAGATCGTAAAACAATTAACCCGCGCCAGACAAAAAACCGACAGAGATTTCGTTTCCCCCAGGGGCATTTATTTTACCGAGTTTTCCATCAAGAAACGCTTCTTGTATATAAATAATAAATGTTAGGCAAAACAAATTTTGAACAGGTTGATTAATTGGAGCGAATTCGTGTGCGTTCACAGGCCTGTCCCAGCTTTCTCTGCTCGACCTGGCGCGCAACAACTTGGCCCCAGGTTCCGTCGGCATCCAAAAGGACACCTTCAAACGTCTGGTGCGTCTTCGCGAGTTGGACCTCACCTCAAACAAACTCAACCGACTGGACGCCAACATCTTCAAAGATCTCTTCGAATTGCAGGTAAGGAAAAAAGAACGAAAATTTATATCGAATTTATGTTCCCATAAAGTTCACGTTAGTTTTTTAATTAATCAGCGGTAAATTCACAAAAGAGACCGGCGAACAAGTAAATTGCGTGTTATTTTTTTTCGCGCTTGGCTTAGAATCCCGTTTTGTCGGAGTTAATTACACGCGGCGAATTATGAGCTGAATTCGAGCAGCGCCACATTTGTCATAACGAAATTGATATTATGCCGGCGAGCTTGTTAGGCTGCTAATTTTATTGCGCTGGAAATTAATTTGGGATCGCCGAGAGCGGCATCGGAACGAGCAGAGGATAAAATATAAAATCCTACACTCTCTCGCGGCGACTCCCACACGTTGTCACGCCGCGCATCGTAAAGAGAGCGTCCGAGATATAGACCGACCGATTATATATTCTCTCGCGAGCGCGGGCTAACAAGTGAGTTAGTTTTACCTGCACGGACGGACGGACGGGCCCTCTTTTCACACACAATACGTGATCTCAATCAGCTCCTTTTATTGTTTCGAAATTCATTTGAAAAGAGCGAGTTAGTGCGCGAGAGAGAGAGAGCGGCCGGTTATATTTGAAAATTCGTCTCGTTCACCACACACATGCTGCTGCCGCTCGAAAAGAAGTGAAAAACAAATCAAGATGAAGAGCAGTTTTGGAACGCGAAATGGCTGCGAGCGAGTCATGAGGGCCTGTTAAATTTTCACTCCCTGCTTTTGGCTGCTGTGCTGATTTCTTTGAATTTTCACATTCGATTTGTTGTTGTTTTACCGTCAACGTATAGAGCTATCACTCGGCGGCTTAATTGGAAATTCCCTCCGCCGCTTGAGTGATGTTCTCGCAGGGTATTTATAAATAATACAACGCCGCGCTCGGGTTGTTTCTCTTTCTTATTTCACCTTTGATTTATCCTTCAACCCCTTGTTAAAATTTATCCAGTTGTATAATTTATGGCGCACCTTGTTGCCTTATGCATTTTTATAACTCCGCGGGCTGTTGTAATGCTGGCTAATTTCTCGGCACGCACTTAATTTTTCAAGTCTCTCGGCGCAGACGTTGCGGGTGTGAAACCCTTGGCAGTTAAAAAGCTGCTGCTGCTCAATTTGAATAATGCAGCAGTTGAAAAATAAAAGAATAAGACCTGAATTCCAGTTTGGAAAAAACGTAATCTCTTCGCGCAGACCCGAATTTATGGCGCATTCACTTCCAAACATTATCTAGCCGTTTATATTATATTATTTTCTCTTTTAACCAAATTAGGTTCGTGTTTAAATAAAATTTATGGCGGCGAAGAAAAACTCATCAGTCCCATTTATCCGTTGATGCACCGCCGAAGCCCATATTAATGGTGAGCTTTTAACAATATTTAGAGAGTCGGGCATGTTTTCGTTACTCCGATTTTATAACAGGAAAATGAAACGCACACACGTTTTTTTTTTGTTCCTTCGACAACCTGGCGAGAGATGTTTCTTTTCTCTCCTTCGGTCCACTATACATCTCTCCTAACCTATCGTAATGCATTAGCCGAGCGTCCCAAATTCCAACACAGCACAAACCAATCTTTTCTCTCTCTCCTTCTTCTACAACTCATCAAACGCCTTTGACCATGGTAGTTGAACTCTGAACCTCAACAGTTTATATACGAATTCCCCTTTCGGAGAGACACACAAACATGCATGTTGAGGAGAAATATTGTATTTGATCACCAAATAAATGAGACGAGCATGCAGGAGATGCTCCCCGAGGTGATATTAAAAAGTGAGAGAAATTGCCTTCTAAAAGGCTGACTCTTCATTTATTATAACTGGTGTGTGTGCCCAAAACTATTTTCTTCGCCCAAATGCCTGGCCATTTCTTACTTAATTTTTCTCCGGCCGACTGCGTGACAGATGTGGGACAAAAGACTCATTAACAAAAAGACCGCTTGTGTTAGTATGACGCATACTGTTATTCTTCTTCTTCTTTTATTTGGGAATTTTATATAAATTATTTTCTGGTGTTAATTTTCAAAGCCTTTGATTAATCAAATTGAAAAATTGGTCCGCTTTCTTTTCCGAGTGATAATAAATAAAATTCGCCCACTGCACGCTGGGCGATGTTAACACGAGGCGAAGGTGCGAAGGCGTCTCTCTGGTTTTTGGTTTTTTTCCACCTCCGGTTGTCGAGTCGCAGACTAATTGAATTATTTTTATTAATTTGGGCACAACACGGCTGCTTTACACAATTTTAAATTTATAATGAAGCGATTTATCACCAGCCGAGCGTGCATGCAATGGCGACACATGCGGAGACCAGCAAACATATAATCACATCACACACGGCGGCGGGCGCAGCACATGCGGTGATCGGGCCATTTATTTATTATTCGTTCGCCTCTTGCGCCGCCGAGTGTATTTAATGAATGTCGACCATTGCCAGAGTTCTCCTAATGAGCCGAAACAGCGGGATTATTACAGAAATTCATATATATTATCCGCGTAATCGGGCGCATTAATTAAACGCGGACGAGCGCAGCAGCCTGCTGTCCCAACAAGTGGCAAAAAATGTTCATTTTCGCCGGGCCTTTTAATACCACGCCTGAAATTTATCGTCCGAAATAATTTATTCGTCGGAGAGAGAGAGAGAAGAAAAGGCATATTGGTTCGGAGCACGCAAACAAACGTGAGCGATTTATGGGCATTCCATAACTGTCTTGTACAATTTCAAAGTTCAAAAGTTGTGAAATACCAGCTGCTCGAGTTTTCGAACGGATTAATATAATATGTTGTTGGCGCGCGAGCAGAGAGAAAGAGATAATCTGATTCAGTTTATAAAAGGATTAGCGCGGCTTAGAATTTATGCCCATGAAAAATCTACTTAGCGCGCAGCCTCACTCTCCGTCCGACCAGTGTGATGAGAGTTGGGAAGAAAAATTATAATATGAGTTTTGGGAGAGAGAGAGAGAAAGAATGCCTCGGGGTTATGTTTCTTGTTTCTAGTTTGAAACCTGCTGCCTGCGCCTCTCGCGCGCAATAGCTCCTCTATGTTATTACCGATGAGGTCCGAAAAACTGGCCGCGAGATCAACAACCAAAATCTCCATTTACAAAACGCTGAGCACAGAAATAAAATACGTACATATACGAGATGGGAAATAAATAAATGTGGAAGTAATTTGGCCCGGACTTTTATTTTGCTTTTCGTTTATACGCACGATCTTCTTTCTGCAGCGTGCAGCCGACAGAAATTCTCACAATTGGAGCCAATTTGGGAAACAATATAATAGCGACCGCAGCGCAATTATTCTCCTTTTCTTCATACAATTAAAACATATACAATTCGTTTCCTCGGAAAGAAGTGCTTTTTAATTGAAAATTATCCGTCCAAGTGATGAAACTAGATAATTCCGAGCAGCTTTTCCCTCGGAATCGTCTATTCCAATTCCTAGAATTTAGAAACTAGTTTTAATTAAAACTATTCTGCTCGAGTCTCAAACGGCTCGTTCCCGAGGCTGTTATTTATATAAATTAGGTGATAAAGTGTTAATTTGATCTGTGAGAGAAAAAGGAGAGCCACGCTATCTCTCTTCATGCTCGAGACGAATTCATTGAATTTGAGTTTTATCAAAGTACACCGGAATTTAATTAAATGGGCGCGCGCTTTGGCTGAAAGTCGACGAGCTTGGGTGTTATTGTTATCGCTCCAGAAATGAATGGACGCGCTGCCCAACCTTGTTTTTTGTATTATGTGCTCGGCCCGCGAGAGATGATAAAAGGAGCAGGAAACCTCCCGGCCGTAATGGCATCTCTCTCTCTCCTCCTCGGTCGGCCCTTATTATTGCGGTTAAAAAACAACAACCTACCTGCCTTTTTTACTCGTCGACGTCGAGCAGCATTTTTCTCATTTGAACCTACCACTTTTCACGTCATCAACTATGCTCGGCCTCGCAATATACACAAGAGCCGAATGAAAAACTGTATTCACTCTCCTCATGCGCTTTATTCCGCGAGTAACTTGTTGAATTTTCATGAATATAATTACCGGTTATCAATTGATAAATATCGCCGGCTCGCTGAAATTTCCCCCTGAACGCGCACACACACCGCGGATCGAATTATTTGACGTGCTACTTTTTTTTATTTATCGGCATGAAAAACAACCACCTGATGCGTTTATTTTCCTCGTAATTTTTACACAAGCAGCGGCTTCGAAAAATTTGAAACACGCATGCAAGCAGGGCGAGATAAAATCTATACAATTCCCGTGGCCAATAAAGTGGCCATTTTTATTGCGGACCCCGCCGGAGCCTAATGAGAGCTCGGCGAGTTGTTTTATTTTATTCAGCAGAAAGTTATAATATGTACTTTGGTATAATTTGAATAAAATTTCAATTTGAGCCCGGGCCGGGAAATTGGCGCGCGAGACGCGGCCGAATCAAAAAGGTGTTAAGAGTGAGAGAAATAGCTGTCTGTCCATCTTTTATTTATATTTGAATGCCCCGTCTCGGCGTCCTTTGAGAGAGAATGCAACACGGCCGGCTTTTTCACGTTGGATAATAAATTTTATTTTAATCACGATGATATTCTCCTCTGCAGCCTCCCTTGTCGTGTGTTTATTCTAATGCGTTGAGGCATAAAACGTTTTGGATTTTCGTCGGTTCATCCGCGCCTTTGACTCCATAAAGTCTATAATAATAATTATATATGTATTTGCTCTCGTTTGGAGGCAAATTTGTATGCATTGGTTTTCTGATGACGAAAAACATCACAAAAAATTCCTCTCGGAATAAATTTAGGCAGCCAGACGAAAAAAAAGAAGAGCTCACGGCCAGATTTTGGTAAACCAATAATGGGTTAATTTTCATGCATGGCCTCTCCCGTAATGGATGTTTCATAAAAAAATTATAATTCTCGCCTCGGACGAAGGCAAAAAAAGTTTCCTGACCGTTGAGGAAAACTTTTTGAATGGACGAATAATATAATAATACAAAAATGTATTTCACCAGAGGCTCTTTCATAACCCTTTCATACTCGCGACCGACTAAAATCACTTTTCTTTTCTCTCGGCTTAGCTGCACAATAAATAAAGCAGATTATCTTCTCGGGCCACCTCGGCGAAATGTTGCAACTCTTTGGTCTGGTTTTTGCACAGGAGCACAAATCACTGCCTCGGCATCACTGTGCTTGAGCAAAATAACAACACGCGGCCGGGCGCGATAACCTTTATTCACTTTGACACGTTTTCAACACAAATCGTGGCGCAGCCCGTAAAAATAATGCGGCGGCACGTTTTCCTTTTTCTTTCTCATGAGCGGTGCACATTCACTTTCGCCGGCGCGAGAGAAAAATTCAATTTCCGTATTACATCCAATTAGATCCATTTGCGTAACACCTTGTTATCTATCTCGGTGCCCTTTTCACTGTATTAATTTCCACGTAAAATCTCCGTGTCGAGATAATTCTGCGCAGAATAAAGGATGCACGGCAGTGGCTCAAAAGTAAAAAGACGCTGTCAGGTGCTGATGAAAAATAATGAAAATTCGTCGCATATTTAACTCAGTTTTGTGTAATTTAATGCCGAGAAATTAAATATTTGGTGGCGTGCTAGCGCGTGAAAATCCAAAACGAAGCGAGAAATTTAATATTTCATGTGCATGTGTGCTCTGTATAAAAACCATACCATGCTGCCACCATCTGCTGGATGCTGCGCTGCATATTAATTTTAAAATAGACCGTCTGCGCCCGGCCGAGCGACCCATAGTCTGGATAATTTGTCGCGTTTTTGTATCATCACGATTTGTCACTGTCTGCAATTAATTTATAAGGATTCAAATTAACGCAACTAAATGTTTATTTTTTGCTTCAAATTTGTTTCAAGCACTTGACACTCGAGAAGATGATCATGGAAATGAAAAAATCGGGCTTTTCCTCGTTGCAGAAATTGTTTTTTATTCATCAACAAATGGCTAGTTTCGGTCACGGTCTTCGACCCTATTTCATGAGCAAAATATATGCAAAAAAAATTAGCAAATTAAAAAAAAAACACCACGTTGTAACATAAAAATTAAAATCTTAAAACCGAGTAATTTGTTTTTGAATAAAAAACAATTTCTGCAGCAACGAGGAAAAGCCTGATTTCTTCACTTCCACTTTGCATCAAAGTTTAAGAATTTTCCACGCTTTTTTAAAAAAAATTAATTAAAACGGAAATTTTGAAGAGAAATCGTTGCAATTTTAAAAATAATTTTGATTTGATTTGAATTATTTTATGCAATTTTAAATAGGAAGGTATTTTAATGTAAAAAAGACCTTGAGTCCAAGGACAAATTTCGCGTGCCCCTTCTAATACCTCACACAAAGTATGTTGCATTGTGTGCGAAAATCACATGTGTGCGCCCTGACAACGGCTGTCACTCCGATTTGCGAATCGGAACGAGCCACCCAAAAAGCGTCGGCTCATGTTCGGCTCCCTCGTGCTCTCTATCAAACAATTCAGTCAAATATTAAGTTTCCCTTCTTGTGTGTCAACAGGTGCTGCGATTAGCCGGCAACCAGCTCACGTCCATCCCCGACGACATGTTCATGTCCCTGGGCAACCTGCACGCCCTGGAACTGACGGCCAACCAACTCGAGGACCTCCCGCAGAAGGTGTTGAGCCCCCTGCGTGCCCTGCGTCGTCTCGGCGCCTCGCACAATCTGCTCTTGACCCTGAGCAACAACGCCCTGGCCAACTGCTCCGACCTGAGGGAACTGGAACTGGGCAGCAATCGATTCGCCAGTTTGAAGTCCGAGGTGTTGGCGGCCGTGCCCCGAATCGAGCTGCTCGACCTCTCGGACAATCAACTCACGGTCCTGCCAACCTTCCCCTCCCTCTTGTCCCTGACGGTGCTCAAGGTGTCCGAAAACCAGATCGCCACCCTTCCGAGGGACAGCCTGGCCAAACTGTCCGGTTTGCGGATGCTGGACCTTTCGTCCAACGGACTGAGCAACGTGGAAAAGGGCGCCCTGAGCAAGAACACTAGACTGGAAGGTTTGAGGATCGACGCGAACGCCCTGACCGACCTGGAGGCCATCCTGACGGGCGCCCCTGCCTCGTTGTACGCGGTCAACGCGTCCGACAACCAGCTGCAGCACTTCGACTTCGGCCGACTACCTGGTGAGTGTGCGCTTTGTGGCCTTGTTAAATTTTTGTGGGTGATAAGTATCAGGACGCGGCGTCAGTCGAAATTTTAATGGGCGACCTAGAAATGCGGGAGAGATGTGTAGCCTTTTATTGTTACAAGTCGGAGCGCGAGTTTTTCCTCTCCTTCTTAATTTGCTGTTGACAGAAGGGATTAATTTCGATCCGAGAGGATTTAATTAAAAAAGCTCCAAGCGTGAAAGCGGCGTTTAATCCTAACGCTTCCAGCAGGGCGAGAAATATAATTTTTTTTTTTATTTTTCACCTGAAAACAGAAATATTTATAATTATTATTTTCATTTTTTTTTTAAATACAAAAAAGTTTAGTTTATTAGGTAAAATTTAAAAATAATAATTCTTTAAAACTGATTTGTTTTCAACCTTTCAATGATTTATGCGTGGCTAATAAAGTTCCTCTTTCGGATGGACCCGAAACGATGAGCTCGAAAATTTCCATTAGCATAAAATTAATTCGCCGATTTCACAATAGCCACTGAAGATACGGATCTCGGCCGGTTTGTTCTTCTTCTTCGCTCGCCAGTGCGGCGAAATGAAAATTTCGGCGTCCCATCACCTTTTAATATTCTCCTCCATTATAATTGAACACGTTAAGTTATATTTCAAACTGTCAATCAAATTCGCTGCTGCCTGCCCGCGTGTGCTTTTTGTGTGCCGAGAGAGCGAGCGTCTTCTTTTCTTATATTCATATACTCGATGCAGGCATGTTTTGAATAACTGTCTCTGGCGATTAACATAAAATAGTGATAAATCATTTCCACTTTGACTGACGCATTTTTAAATGATCACACACACATATATTGTTATCTCTGTGCATTGCTCAGCCGCATAATGCGCCGGTTGCGGCTGAAAAGGGGCAAAAAAGTGCCAAGAGCAATTATCATTGTGCGCGCCCGGCCGAAAATTGATGACCCGCGCCGAATCAAAAACCGATCAGCCTGCGGTGCTTTTTTATTATTATTTATTTGTTTTTCGTCCGATGCCGCCGCAGTTGAATTTCCCGCAGCACCTTAATCATTTTATTGCCAGAATTCCAGACGATAGAAAAATGCGTAGGATTTTGGCCAGTCGAAGAAAACTTTTCGGCCGTGTCGATAGGAAAGATACGGTTTTTATTGTGCTGCATGTATTTGTACGTACGGTGAGGTCCCATAAAAAGATCAGTACAACGAAAATCTTGTAATTTTTTTAATCGCAGTCATATATTTAGCCAAAAGTCAATAGCGGTAATAAAACGGGCCGCCTTCGAAAGATAAAAAAAAAAAATCGCGGCGTTTGTCTTGCATGCTGATGTGTTGGAATTTGAATATTTATTAAAACAACGAACTAACCGGCGGTGTGTGTTATTGGTGTGTTCGCAGGCAAGGTGAATTGGCTTGATTTACATCGCAACAGATTGGACCGTGTTCGCAATCACGGGGGTCAAGGGGGTCGTTCCCTCACGTTCCTGGACCTCAGCGAGAACCTGCTCGAGCGACTCGAGGCCTCCGACGTCCCCGACCAGGTGATGATGCTCTACCTGAGTGACAACCGCATTTCGCACGTGGCGTCCGGCACGTTCATCGCCAAGAGGAACCTCACCGTGGCCGACCTGTCCAGCAACCACCTCACCGGTAAGATTTACCGCCTCGTATATCACGTTATGATAATTAAATGCCAACTCGATCTATCGCGCAACGAGTGAGCTTATTTATCTTTGCGCCGAGCACGTTTATTTACCTTCGCACGCAGATTTCGGGATAAATGAGTCGCGCACGATAAAATATCGGCGCGCCTGCCAGAGTCACAACAGGCTCGCTGATAATTCTCGACAAAGCGAGCGCGCCGGTGAATTATTGCGCGGGCTGGCTGTCGTCTCTGGTAGTTAGCGTGCAGCAGACGCGCGCAAATTTGTTTTCGCGATAATTTGCATAAAAATAATGAGTGCTGAAATTACAGGAGGCCAAAAACTTGCGGCTCACTCGTCGCGATTATTTATTTTGAGTCGCCTTCGCACTGACAGGGCAATGCGCCATTGATCATTGTTTACTGTCAGTTTGCATTAAAATTATTTCACTTGTCAAAATAATTCAAGCGCGAATTCCAGTCAGCTTCTTTTTATTGTTCATTGTTTGTCTTCGTCATTTCAAGTCTTCATTTTGCTGCAGCGGAAAATTTAAAATTTAAAAATAAATTTTAATGGATCTTTATTTAAATTTTAAATTTCTAATTAATCAAGAGCGACTTTTAGATGTAATAATATGGAACTTCCAACTGTTTTACTAATGTCTTCTTTTGATTTTATTTTTATTTTGAAATTATTAGTTTTCAAATAACTTTTTCCTGACAAATATTCATTTTTTATTTGTATTTTAAAAATGAATATACATTTTCATGGATTTTATACAAATTTTGTAAAGGATTTTTTTTTTAAATAAATCAAGAGGAAATTTTTTAAGTGACTTTTAACATAGAATATGGAACTTTAAATTTATTATTATTATTTTTGTTAAATAATGTTGTCTCTTGATTTTCTTTTAAATTGTTAGTTTTGAAATAAAATTTTGCCAACAAATTATAAATTTTGCTTTTTTTTCTGTTTTAGAATTGGACATAAACGCCCTGCAGTTGGGAATGGAGGTGCCGAAGGGAAGCCCCCTTCCAGAGATCCTGCTCTCCCACAACCCCCTCACCTGCGACTGCAAGATGGAGTGGCTCCAGCGTGCCAACAGCTTGGCCGACAGCCTCCGTCGCTACCCCCGCATCGCCGATCTCTCGACCGTGACGTGTTTCCTCCCTCACGCCCGCGCCACCGTCACGCCGGTGCCCATCGCTCACTTGTCACCGTCCCAGTTTTTGTGCCGCTACGAAACGCATTGCTTCGCCCTGTGCCACTGTTGCGACTACGACGCGTGCGACTGCGAAATGACGTGTCCGACCAACTGCACGTGCTACCACGACCAGCTCTGGGGAGCCAACGTGGTCGACTGCTCGGCCAACAACCACCAGAATCTGCCCGAGCGCATTCCCATGGACGCCACCCAGTTGTACCTGGACGGAAACAATTTGAACGAACTGTCCTCGCACGTGTTCATCGGCAAACGCAAGTTGGAGACTTTGTACCTGAACGCCAGCAAGGTCAGTTTCATCCACAACAGAACCTTCAACGGTCTCCTCGCCCTGAACTCCTTGTACCTGCAAGACAACCTTTTGACCGAATTGCAGGGTCACGAGTTCTTCGGCCTGCACAATTTGAAGGAACTGCATCTGGAGAACAACGCCATCATCTCCGTGCACGTGGAAACCTTCAGCGGGCTGAACGGTCTGCGCAAGTTGTTCATCGACGGCAACCGTCTGGTCGACTTTGCTCCTTGGTCAGTTCTTCCTCAGCACGAGGGCAACGTCCGCATCTCCATGGGTGGCAACTGGTGGACCTGCAGAGACTGTGAAGTGCTTGACCGGCTCAATTCGTGGACAGACTCGGCCAATCAGATGCTCTGTCTGGACACTCAGCACAGGCCGAATGGAAGACTGAACCTGTCCGTAGCTGAGGCTCTGAAGAAGTGTCTGCATCACCAGAACAGCGCCATCTCCGCCTCTATCCAGCACGACACATTCTCTCCGAGCTTCTCCACCAGCATGCTGGCCCTGGTCGGCTTCTCTCTGGTAGTTCTTCTCGTCATGGGCATCCTGGGTTTTGTCTTCAGACGCAAAATCACAGCCTGGGGCAAGTCCCTGATGGACAGAGGAGTTGTTCCTGAGGAGGAAGGTGGCAAACTGTACGACGCCTACATCGTCTACAGCCCTCGCGACGAAATGTTGGTCAACAAGGAGGTCGGCTCTCGTCTGGACACAATCGGTGCCTCCATGTGCATGCACCACCGCGACCTGCCAGCCAGGCATCTGAGTGCCAGCGTCGACAGCGCCATCGACGCCAGCCGCAGAACTATTCTGGTCCTCTCGGCAAACTTCATGCAAACCGAGTGGCCAGAGCAGCACTTGCGCATTCCCATTCTGGACGCCTTCCTGGCCAATGACAACAAAAGTGTTTTGTGCAAGCTGATCGTAGTCATCACCCCGTCTCTCAACTCCCTTTCTCCAGAAAACAACGTGCCCCTGCAGCTGTGGGAGCCGCTGCACCGTCTGCTCAACTCCGCCAACGTGCTGATTCTCGGTGAGAAGCGCAGGTTCGGCGAAGACCTGGTCAGGGCCATGCCGTCGAGCGTGAGCTACCTGAAGAAACGGTCAAACGCTGAGCGAAGCATCAAGGTCTGGGGAGACTCGACCACAAAGCTGTACAGCCCCTCGCCGGTGTACTCGTCCACCATCTCTCCGTACTGGACGAGTCCGCCTGCCCAGCACATTGTGATGCCGCCTCAGAGCGGCTACATGAGCTCGTCGTCTGCCGACGGTGACGAAAGTTGTCACCACACCACGTCCACGGACGACAACGCCGACAGTGGCGACTCCCTATGCTATTCCACGTACTACCACCAGCACAAAGAGCTGAACGGGCCCCTGAACCATGTTTACAGCACCATTGACGAGCGAAACGTGACGACCAGCACCAGCATCAGACCCGCGTCCCAACAGCGCATGTACTTTGTGTAGATAGGAAAAAAGAACAGACTGCGCCTGATAATTTTTTTTCTCAATTAAGACTGCTACTCGTATGTTTTAAGAAGCCGCTTTCAATGTGAGATTAGTTGTTAAGAAAAAAATACAAAAACAAGACGTTCGTCGCCTTCGTCACCTGTTCATCACTTGATGTATATTCCTCATGCGTGTACGATTACATATAAAGAATGACTAAAAAGAAGCTGTGAAAAATGGATGGTAATAATTAAATGTGCAAAGTGGCTACATAAATATTCCAGAGGCGCTTGGTGCTGCAACCCGAAAAAGGACATTCGTCAAAACCCAGTCATTTCTGCATTTTTTTTTTCTTAATTTCATGTATTATTGATGTAGCAATCAAAATACTTCCTAAGTCTTGTTAAATATCGAATGAACGATTTTCGCGCCACGCGAAAAGCAATGGTGAATTTAACTTGTGTAATTTTAATTGTATATAATGATTATTTATATAATTGATGAGCAATAAAACATCCTACTGAATAAAATTCACGTCTCAACTTTTTAATTTTCAAATGAAAAACCTACAAAATTTAATTAGTTGCCTTTTAAAATAAATTTCAAATTAGTTTCTGTGCAGAGAGGAGTATATTTTTATTATAATTTGCTGATGAAAATGATAAAATGATTAAAAACAACTATTAAATTATTCACTTGGCGAAGATGGACTAAAATAATAAAAGCCCTCTCTGCTTGCTTAGTAGGACAGTAATCAGTCAAGCATTCATTTTCAACAGGAAAATCATTTTGTATTCAGTCAGAAAGAAGAAAGGTACGTGTGTGTTTACCTTATTTGATAAACTTCACAAATTAACCGCAATTTTTTAACATTTCATAAAATGCGGCAGACGCATACATATATTTTTTAGATCACAACCCGCTGATAAGGAAACAATGAAAAATGAGCGTAAGCAAGGAAAGTCATGCGGATGGGAACGTGGGATTCAAATTATGAACGAATCATCATCATCATCATAATAAGTATGAGCTGGAAAATGTGCGTTTTACGAGGGAAGTCACTCAAAAGTCGCAGTGCGCAGCGGATTTGCTCGCTCAAAGGCGTCTTCTCTGCTTTTCGTTTTGAAAGAGAAGAGCGAAATTGGATTAGAAACATACTATGGCGCGCGGATTCTCAAGTCCCGTAATAAAATTCAAATGAGTAAATAGTGCTCCGTGCCGCTCACACTCTCTGCTGCTTTCGAGTAAATCTCAGAATAGATCCGCGCGTTTCGTATATATATTCGCTTTGGATAAAATTCAACACTCTAATCCAGCCAGTGCGGAGGGAGTTAAGCGGCGTTTCTTGTCGGGAGTAAAAAAGCGCAGAGGATTTTTGTTTTTAAAATAGACACCATAAGGCTCAGCGACGCGCAGCTCTCGTGGATCGTTTTTTCTAAATAAAAAATTGTCTGTGCTGCCAGTGAATGACTCTCTTTGAAAGCTTGATGGGAGCAAAACCAACTGATGCCTGCGCTGGATTTGCCCTCAAAAGGGGTGCACTCGGATGCCATTATGTTATATTCATGTCTTAAGTGTATAGTCTCGTCACTCAGGAAGTTGCTCGTTCATTTCAACGTCGGGAAAAAGAAGACTCAATTAAAATGAAACTTTTTCTAAAAAAAATTAAATACACATAGGCGAGGATTAATTAGAATAACGAGTATCTCTGTAAAGAGATGCTTTTAAAAGCTGCCATTAAAATTAAAAAAGATGCAGTTATAGAAATTCCTACGTTTTCCGCGACATCGCGATGTGTTTCGTAATTGCTTAATAATGTCGTATAATTACGTCTCTTAATGTCCACAACATAATCAGCGGACTTTAATTATACCCCCGCGAGAGCCAGATTAGACCACGGCAAAAAATTGCTATGGCCGCGGCGCTGCCTCCATCAGCGTACGTAAAGTAAAATAATGTACCCACATCCAGCAACATAAAAGAATGAGATTTTGCACAGAGATCGAATGTCCTGATAGCGTGTGCTGGCAAATTAGCTATACAAACAAAACGTATTACATTTTCTGCGACCATCTTGATGCGCATTGTAATTAATTTAATGCGAAAATATGTACGTGGCTGTTTTTTTAAATTTTAACATTGAGTGCTTTTCTCTTGGGGAGTAAAAGAGAAAAAAAAACTATACAGAACAATTAATGTCACATCAAAGTTAACAATTAAGCTAAGAAATATATTAATCAGACCTATATAATTATTATTTTTTTTAATTGCCGGGGTTTAAAAGATTTTTATAAATTTAATTTCAATTTTCACATGTTTCTGCGTATATCTGATTCCAAATGACATTATTATTTTAATTGTTAAAAATTTAAGGCTTAATTACATACAATTTCATATTACATTGCTTACTTTTAAACTACTTCACTGATATTTTTAATTTAAAACAATTAAATAATTTTTCCACTTAAAAAAATAACTACATATTGATAAAACAAACATGTTCATTAAGTGTCATTTATGAATTATATACATTTATTTTTAAATTACTTTCAGTACTTTTTTTACTTACAAAATCCTTATATCTAATGTAACTTCACAAGTTCATTAACTTAAATGCGTCTCATGTGTGTGCTATGAGACTATATAAATGATTATTTTTACCCATAAAGCACCGTCACACATACGAAGCATAAAAAAAGAGATATACATTCTCGGGTGGAGGCGCAAACGCTGCAGCATCCGAGAACATTAACATAATCTAAAGGAAAAAGGATGCATCTCTTCTCTCATATCTCGCGCAGTTAAGGTTCATCTGACGCGCTGGTTGTTGGATGCGCCGTGAAACTCAATCTCGTTAGAAGGAAAAATAAACGTCAAAAGGTCCTGCGTTTGGAAAACATTCACATGTCCTATTACGAATATCAAAGGCGCCTTTATTTTATGCCTCTTGGCCTGCGGGAATCGGCGGCGTGATGCCGAGAGCTGCTTTTCCTTTAAAGAAAACTGCTCTGGCTCAGAAATTACTGTTTCCCGAGAGTAAACACATAATCGTGCGCTGTGTGTGTTTGGAAACCAAATAAATAATAATCCCTTCGACTTTTACATCTATATGTGTTAATCGTACACCATAACTCCGCTGCTTGTTCTCTGTTTACGCAACTCTTCTCAAAGCTCGAGCACGGATTACTTGTTCAAATAATATCAAGGCAAATGATAAATTTTGTCTTTAATTTTAAGAGCTAAACATTTTTTTAAATTTAGTTTCAGACTTTGAATGTCAAAGTTCAATCTCTGTTTATTTTTCGTTAAAAAAAGGAAATTAATAAAACCAATTCGTGTGTAATTATTTATATTTGTGAATTAAAAAACAACGTGCAAGAGAGCTATTCCAATGAGATTGTGAGAAACATAAAAATTATGTGAATTAATTAACATTTTTGTTCTATTTAATCACAATTTTGATTAACCTTTTATAGCGTATGCAAATTATTTTGTATTAAATGATGACACAATTTTATTACAATTTTTAGACAATTTTCAACCATTTCAAATTAAGATGAATATTTTTATCATCGTTTATTTAAGAAAGGTGTTGCGGTGTCAGTTCGAGATATTCTTTATTTGATTTTGAATGGCACTTTTATATAAGTAATGGCGCTCGCCGTCACGTTTCCCGAGAGCAAGAATTTAAATTACATAACAAGATAACTGAGAAAATTCTCCCTTTTTTGTGCGTACCCTGCGGAGAGCCGCCTCGTCCACTCAGCACCTTGTTAACACACCAAGTCTCGCGGCGGATGCTGCGTGGGGCCCACACAGGAACGTGGAAAAAATCACGGGGTGGTCTGATTAAGTTATTATTTACGGGGCCGCGCTCCTCGACCAATAAAATAATATATACTCGTGAAATTGGGCTAAACAAATTATACAAAAACCCGCGTGCCGTGGAAGACACGAGATGTATATAAAAGAAAGAGACCCGGTCAGGGCATATTACTGCCTACAGCGGAGTTGTGCGAGAGAGAGAACAGCAGGGTGAAGCGGTTTTTCCCAAAGAGAACGAACGGGTCAGAAAAGAATTTCCACTTCCCAGGGCGGACTCACTTCGGAATTCGTAATATATTGAAATATCGACTTGCGAATAAATTTTCTTCGCCGATGGTGCTCCTTTGGGTCTTCCAGAAATGCATCTTATATAATGCTCATAAAAGTCCACAAATGAAGAAGAAATCCCAATAAGAAGATGAGAAATTCGTGCATGCGATGTCTATAAGAGGAATAATATAAACATTAATAAATATTATTATTATATTTGATAGCAATAATGAAACACCGATCCAATATGAACAATGAGCAAGAATGGTTATTTTATAAAATTAAAATGTATTGCTACTATGCTGATTGTATAAAAAATATAGCTTTAGTTTTTAATAAAGCAATTAAATATTTATGGACAAAGCTGGGATAAAGCAAAACAAAAGTAATCTCATAAAAAATGTAATTAAGCCACGCAAAATTAATTTATTAAAAATATTTGATAAATAAGTAAAACAGTTACAAAAATACAATTTATGTAAATTTTTAAAATATTAATATTTAAAAATTTTAAAAATTGGCAGTGTTCAACAAATAAGATGCCTGATGAAGTTTTTTTTGGGTCAGGCCAAGACAAAGTGTCTGTGCCCTTGTTTGAGCTTACGAAAGGCAATCTCCAAACTTATATTATTTGGGAATTACTTATTTCTATTTTTTTTTTTGTAGATAATTTATTTATTAGACAAACACGATTAGAAAAAAAATGAGTAGAAGAGGACCACCCTCCCGAAAGGCTGCCCAAATAAGGCAGACGATGTGTAATTATCAGCGGAGCCGAAGGAAAAAAGAAAATTAACCGCGGCTGAGACTGGCCGTGCTTCTGTATATCGGCCGGCAAAATGGACAGTCTAAACACAGGGTACGTGAACCTTTGCAGGTAGGGTCCTTGCTCGTCTCGGGGCCCATTACCATGCGAACGAGCCGAGTGAGTGCCAGGAGGAGAAGAAACAAAGCGCGCAAGAATATATTTGACAACAAAGATGGCGCAGAAAAAGCAAACAAGGCATCATCCGAAGTGACGTTTCGTGCCTCTGGCCATGCAGGGTCCGCCGCTCACGTCTTCATGCCTAGTTAGAGAAACCTTTTATCAAATAAACGCAGGAATTCCTCACGAAATTAACTGGCCACTTTCCTATAGCCGTCTTGAATCGCCGCATAGCCCGCGTTTTGATTTATGGGAAATTCGAAACTGCTCCTGCAATTATGCAATTTTATGCTTGAAATGCTGCAGTAAAGCAATTAGCGTTTAGCCGGCCAATAAATTACGCTAATAATGCACTTGGGCTCGTGATGGATGGGCAGCACGGATCCGACGATAATGGGCAGAAACGCGTCGGCCCAGTTCTCGGAAGATGCACCGCGCCATGCACAGGTGCACGATTTCGGCGGATTGTACGTTCGTACTGACAGTTTTTGGTTCTCATCGTTTTGTAAATGGT